CAGTCTTACCTGCTTGGTATCTTAACTTGCTCCGTTCTGTCCCTCTCCAGATAGGTGTACAAATCAGTGTTAGTGACATAGTACTGGAAATTACCAGGAAGATCTGCAATGAATCCAGTCAAGATCCACTCAAGAGGGGTAGTGTTGGTGCTTGTACAAATTGCATGCTGCAGATACAGGAATAAGCTCTGGCCTTATGTCTTGAAGTGAACCTTTTAAAATAGAGACATTTGAATCTTTAACAATGATGAAGACTACAAGACGAAGTAGCGGGAAGTGGCTTTGCTGAGAAAGAGGTCCCTTTGTTTCGCATAAGATGCATTAGGATGAGATCTTGAGGGATCTTAGTCTACCACCAGGCTGTGCTCAAGCAGCACCCGATGGTCCCTAGCACTTAACTTTTGCTCTTAGGCAACTAGAAAATCTTGTTTTAGTTTTTGTCATAGAAAATATGTGAAATGTTTCAACACGACGACTTAGAGCACAACTCATAGAGGTTCACCAGGTTCAGTAAACCATGACTTCAAATAAGACTTAACTGGGTACATTGTACGGGTGAAAATGCTGTCATTCGCATTTCACTATAATCTAATTAAGTCAATTTCGAACAATGTGAGATGATTTAGACCAAAGGAATTGGAACAACACATGCCGACGTCATTGGATTTAAACCAAAAGGGCTGCCAATTGGATGCTGGGCATTGGCTGGAATCATTGTAAAGGCATGTAAAGGTGTGAAGAAGCCTATTTAGAGTAAAGACACCAAATACCTCCCTACCCACAAAAGAAGAAATAAACCCATATTAAAATCAACTCCCTTTATAGCAGACACTGTAGGGACCTTGATTTAGTGTCCTCATTAGCCAGAGTCCGTAATAGAGGGAGTATATTTCAGTCACATGCCTGTAATTTGTTTTTGCTGGGGATTTAGCTACTGTCTGTTTCATCAGGGTGTCCGTCATAGCAGGCTGTCCGCAAGGCGGGAGCTGACTGTACTACCTGACATCTCTTAGCAGTTTGCCAGAACAAGGAAGAGAGTGCATTCTAGAAAAAATAACTGGCTTGGGATTTAAGCATTGTACTCAAGCTTGATTTTATGTTGATGGACAAGCCTGATGGTTGGTATTGGCTCAAATTTCTTTGAAGTTAGCTCACTTTAATTTACTGCCTGAGAAACACCTCACACCTTGACACAGGGAAGCCTGAGGGCGCTTTCCAAAAGTCAGAACTAGCCGGCTGGACCATGGCCGCACTGGTCATTCTGAAAATGAAATAGGCTTTTTCCAAGAGTTTTTGATGCAAAACGATTTCCTTCGTGCATACTATTTAGGATTTGACTGATCTGGCTGGATAGCTTTGATTAAAAGTAAAATTCTCATTATGGTAGAGACATGTCATCAGTATGGAATTTCTGCACTTGTACCTTGACCTCGAAAAATTTTTGTTTTTCTGTAATTTTCCCCTGACCGTGGCAACCCTGTCATTGTATAACAGATAGGCAAACTATTACTGTTTGCTCCTCTTGGTAACAGTTTACTTTATGGGCTGCCCAAATGTCAGATCTGTAAGCTACAACGAGTCCAGAACACTGCCACAAGACTTATTATGAACACTAATAAGTAAAACCGTATCTCGCCAGTTCTCTTTGAGCATCATTGGTTGCCAGTGTTTTATCACATCTATTTTAAAATAACACAGTAGAACTTCGATAACTTGAACTCGGATAACTCGAATTCCCGCTAACTCAGCCTAAATTTCCTTTGCCTTGATCAAAATTTCACTGAAATTTACCCCAATAACTCGAATTCGCCCCTAACAAGAACTGTTTTTAGTCTCCCTTCAGAGTTTGAGTTACCGGGGTTCTACTGTAATTACTTTTAAGGCCACGCATGGCATGTCATCTAGCGTCATAAGCGATTTAGTTGGCATAAGGTCCCGTTCTGCATATTCGTTAACATTGCATCACTCTGTTGTTTTAGAACGTCCTGAGGGGCGCATGTTGGCAACTTTAGGCACTAGATCATTCTCTGCTGCCACCCCTACATTGTGGAACAGCCTTCCCACACATATCCATGATATTGAATCACTGGGCACTTTTAAGAGACACGTCAAGACATATCTTTTTAGATTAGCTTTTACATAGTTTTAAGTATATTTTATTTTCATTTTATTTATGTACTTTTATCAGCATTTTTCCTTTTTATCAGTTTTATCTATCATAGATTCATTTTACAAATTTTAACAATATTATGAAGAAAATGTAAGGTGCTTTTGATCATTTATATGTTAAAAAGCGGTGTAGCAAATTAATAAACCATGATAATAATGATAATAATAATAATAATAATTTATTATTATTATTATTATTATTATCATCCTTAGAGAAGGATGGAAGGAACTCAAAAAATTCTCCAAGCTGTTAGCTATTCACAGAAAAATTGCAGGGACACGGGTGAGGGGTAGGGATGTAAATTGTCACTGACTGCCCTCTCCGTACAGACCGTACACGGTAAGAAAATCTTGCAAGGAGATATACATCGGAAACAATGCATCTCTGGAAATTTTGCTGATTCTACAAAAGGAATTTCAAGCTTAGTGGTATGTACAGAGATTTTCTGTTTCAGTTATTAGCAGCGTCCTGTCGTAGGATGCCACTTGGTATTTAAACCTCGTGGTCTCGAATGTCTCAAATATATTTGAATTTTACTTCGTTATGCAACCCGTACCATTAACGCTTTCCCCCAAACACATTTAATTAAAATAAAACAGATGAGAACCTTACCTCTTTTCTACGTATCGTCAACTTGGTATACGTGTATACAATAGTTTATAAACATGACACGTGTTCGAGCGATCCGTAGTGACCACGTAAATTTGTCGGACCACATCACTCTACATTTGCTGAATAATCCTCTTCTTCTTACCATTTTGACCATCAAATTCGGCGGCCCATAAGACCAAAGTGAAAGAATAACATGAATAATCTACTTTTGCTATGTCGAATTCTTGGAAAAACATGGAAAACGGAAAGAGTGACGAAAACATCAGCGAGCAGGCGAAGAAGAAGAGTTGACCTTTTGTGTAACATGATAAGCTTCTCAGATTACGTGACGTTGGTCGAGAAGCGGCCACAGTTTCCCGCTCAATTTTCCCGCCATTATTTCGCCATGTGCCAAACACTATCAACAGCCACAGGAACCCCAAGTAGCCTGCGCCTAAGACAAAACGTTACCAAACGAGGTTAAATCTGCGACATAGGCTAGTCCCAACGAGCCATATTATAATTAAATCCATCGTTTTGCTAGTTCAAGCGTGCAATCTTGGCCAAGGTCGTCTTCTTTGTTGTTGTGTCTGTTTTTGCGGACCATGTTGAAGATAGGCCATCTAATCTCGTACCCAGATCTCACTCAGATCTGGGTACGAGATTAAGGCCCATGTCGCCCGCTCAGGTAGCCAATCAGAACAAAGTATTAACTTCATCTAGCCACATAATAAACTCGGTGAATAACAGTAGTGGAGGATTTTTTGGCGGTTATTATATTGCCCTACCGATTACAAAGAAATGGATAAAACCGCTCACCGGTACAATACAAGGGGAAAATGTTTGACATGAAACCATACTTATAATAGCATGTTTATTTCTATTCAAAAATAACTCAGCTACAACTATAAATACGATAGTTTACATTTTCAATGAATTAATCGGAAGATATTCTCTTAGTTTATGCACCGATTTCCTACCGTGACCTTTAATTCACGAAAGTGTGAGAAGAAAAACATTCAGTCAAGCCTATAATGAAATCACCAGTTTCACTGGGGGTAAGCCCTTGTCATAAATCAAAATAAATTATATCATTTGCTCATGGTTCATCGGGCAATCTCGTCCCTTGGACTTTTCCCTAAGAAGCGAGGAGAAGGCGAGGACGCTCAGCAGGTGAGAGGCCATTAGCTAGGGTTAGATATATTATGCTCGAAAATTTGAGTATTATGCTTTTGAGCGTCACCCTCAAAACAACAGCATTATGCTTAAAATTAAGCTCGACTGATCTTGGCTGTATTTGGTGCCCTTTTCCATCCCCGCAGACATGAATACAACATTTTATTGTATCAGTTACAAATTTCGAACTGGCAGCCATGATGGATAGACAAATGGCCAGTCTTAGCAGCCTGACAAAATGATGCAGCGGTGCAACAAGACATTGAAAGTAGCAATCAAGCCTTTGAATATGTTAATCCTCAATAAAAGCACTTGGAAGTAAAAATTTCTCAGTACAGTTACGTAAATAGAGGATATTACACGGTGGCGCGAAGATATGAATTTTATTTTCGAGTGGCAAAACAATATTTTACGAACGAGCGCAAGACATCGATAAAATAATAGAGGGAAATTACCGAAATTACGTCATCGGTAAACTCACGTGTGAGATTATGGAAAATAAACCGCTCGAGTCCTGGAGGTAGTTTTTATGAATTTTACGAGTGGTATTATATTTTCCAGTAAAACACTCGTGTCTATATAATAAATATCTTATTTTTTCATTATCATTCTCTTTATGCTGAAAAAAATGGCCATTACGCCGGCATTATTCTCGATGCTCCGACTATAGCATCATTCCCCCCAAAATGTCAAAATTATGTCAGCATAATGTATCTAACCCTACCCTGATTTGAAATATAGCGTCATTTTTTACTACTACGAACAGAACCTATTTCGTTCTTCTTTCACATCTCGACATTTTTAAATGTCGTAATCGCAACAAGGTTTAAATTACAAACACTCTGCTGCTCAAATCGGGAGCGTGGCTAGGATTTTCCAAAGGTATGCAAAGTTTTCCAAATCCGGCGGGAATCCTGCCCCGTCGCCAAATCCATTTGTTTTCACGCAGGGGGCGGATCTAGGGGGAGGGTGCAGGGGGTGCGCACCCCCCCCCCCCTGAGATGACCTGCGGTTTTCTAATACAACTGGTATTCTGCAAAAAAAAAAAACAAAAAAAAAACAATGTGGTTTATTGCATGTGTTGAAGTAGAGCAAGAGACGAGTGCACCCCCTCGTAAAAAAATCCTGGATCCGCCCCTGTAACACGCGTGTGATTTGATGAAATTCAGTTTGCGTTTCGTAGCAGTATGCTAAGATTACCGACGGAGGATCGTGTTTTGCAAGCAGTTATCGCGGGCAGCAACATCGGGAAAAACACACCGCATTTTGGATTGAAAATTAATTGAAAGAAGGTTCAAATATTTTTCCGCTTAATTCCTCTGCTTTGTTTTCCTATCTTGCTTCTGTTTATTATTATATTTCTACATTTTCTGCACGTACGCACATGTGTCCTTAGACTTCGAGCAGTCTCTTTTTTGCTAGACTGTCGAGAGAAACGCGCGAGACACGAAAATGACCACGCAGCTGATTGAAGACGAGAGACGGCCTTTCTTCTCGTTTCGCGGGTTCGCTGCTCGACACTCACGCATGCGTGCACTCCTCTCACTAAATCTCGGAAGGGAGACTGCTCTTAGTCGAATGCCTACTGACGTACAGTTAGCTACAACTCTAAACATTTTCGTTACTTGGCGTCAAGTTCCATTATCTAAAAATCCGTCAGAATTCATACTCGGGCAAAAATGGTCCTTCTTGTATGGCACGCAATCGACATAGTGGCACCACGAGCAGAATGTTCTGGGGTTCTTCACCAAGAAGAACGCAACACACATACCAACCAATAGGATGAGAAGCAGTGTTGTAAAAATCGCCTTTACACAGCTGTTTACTGCTAAGTTCCTGCAACGATAATTCGTGCGTGGAAGGAGAGCCAGGGAAGCGAACAGTCCGAACAAGAAACCACCAATGTGTACAAAGTTTCCAATGTATGGTAAAGTACCCAAGGCTAAAAAAGGGGAATTCATCATCAGTTTACGACGTATAAATGTTCCTCACGATAGAGAAGAATCATCAGCAGTTATTGGATTCGGTTTTCGAATGACATCAAGTATTATGAATTGAAGTAATATATCAAGCATGAGACGCAGTGTTTCATCACCAGATGAAACACCGAGAAGAGAGTTGAAAATACGACGCGCAGCGGAGTATTTTTGACGAACTTCGAGGTGTTTCATCTGGTGATGAAACACTGTGTCGAATGTTTGATATTTCTTCGCAAACAAAATCATTTTTGAAGGAGAAATTAAGGATGCAAAAATGAGCAGTTTTTCATCTGATATCCAAACACTCATTAAACATTACAGTCAAACCAGGTCAAGCGTTCCCGTCGCTAACAGACTAATGAATTCATTAATGGAAAAATGATTTCGTTTGTTGATTCAATAATCCATTCATAAAATGAATAATCCAACGGTCAAATTGTACCTCGATTCAATAATCAAATGTTGATTTGGTTTATGAACAAAATCTACCTGTTCTTTATTCTTGTCTGTTGTGTTCAATCGTATTTGCTTCCCTTTTCCTGCCGTTTACGATTGCGTTTTTCATTGCCTTTAATCAAAATAACAGCTAGAATAGACAGACCGCAAACGCAAAGAAACTGACAAAGGCCGAGGATCGAAATCCACCAATCACCGCACATACACTGACCTCAGTTTGACCGTCGTGTTTTCTAAGAGGTCAGGCCTAGGTCTGTTGCACTGATTATTGGCAGCAAACTGGCGTACATGTAACAGTTTGTTTGGGTTTGAACTTCAGAACTCGCCAGCACTCGACTCTCAGAAAAAAAAGCGGAAAAAACAAATTCTGAGGTCAACTTGTGGAAAGTGGAATTTTTCAAAAAACAGTAATCGAATCAACATTCGATTATAGAATCGAGGCTAAATATGACTATTGGATTGTTCATTTTATGAATGGATTATTGAATCAACAAACGAAATCATTTTTCCGTGAATGAATTCATTAGTTCGTTAGCGACGGGAACGCTTGACCTGGTTTGACTGTAATTTCCCTAGAATTTTCTTTATGAATTATTAATGAGTTTGAGAATTATGAATCATAACTTTGGGGAGCACAGGATGGCGCAGTGGTGAAAGCACTCGCCTCCCACCAATGTGGCCCGGGTTCAAATCCCGGCGTCGAAGCCATATGTGGGTTAAGTTTGTTGTTGGTTCTCTCCCTTGCTCCAAGAGGTTTTTCTCCGGGTACTCCGGTTTTCCCCTCTCCTCAAAAACCAACATTTTAAATTCCAATTCGACCAGAAATCAGTAGACAAGGAAACACTTAGTGGATGTGCTACCTCTAACTAGTTATTTATTTTATTTTATTTATTTTGCAGATCGAAGAGGAAGAGGGTCGGCGGGGTTGACACCCTCCAAAATCTGCATAATTCTTCATTCCCTCTTATACAGCGGCCTGTAAAATAACCGAATTTAAAAGGGCAGGGAGCAACTCAAAATGAAGCCGCGGACACTTTCTCTTAATTTGGCAAAAAATTAAATAGGCCATTCCCGAGTTCCCCCGGGCCTCTGTTTCAAAACGAGGGTAGGTGCTCAGCCTTTGATATGGAAATCATTTTTCATTCTCATGCAAATAAAACTCATTTTCACAAGAAAGGTTGTGCACCTAGCCTCATTTTGAAAGTGAGGGTTTTTGGAACTCGGAAGTGGCCTATTCCGGGAGCAAAACGTCTGCTACAGGATTTAATGGAACCAAAACCAATTGTGGAATTGCACACATCAGTTTCAGTCAACCTACTGATGAACATTCACGAGATACAGATATTTCCAGCAATAGTGGTCAATACAATGCAGTGAAATTTGAGTTTATATGAACACTTTGTGATAATTTCGGTGACCTAGACTGTAGACAGTGTCAAGGCTAATGAGAAACTGTGGTCGACGCTTAATGCAAGAAAATCTGTGTACAACAGTGTTGACTTTAAGAGAGACTTTTCAGATGATGGTATTATTCAAAGTGATTGAATTTGCAGGTTATTATACTTACCAAAACTGATCAATGCCACGCTTAGCAGACATAGCACTTCACAACAAGGCCGCCTCACGTCATGTCTTAGTTGAAGCAGTTTAACAATCAGTAAACCAATGAGTCCAAACAGTGCACCTGACGCGCCAACCTTCAGAGAAAACAATTGCTGCTGTCACCGGCAAAAAATCATCGCTATCGTTTTGAAAATGCCATGAAAAACAAAACGTACCACTCAAAAGTAATACCATGCAAAAGGGTTTCACTCGTCACAAAAAGGTTTACCCGGTAATAAAGACTCGATATTACCATGAAGAGCTTTCAAAATAGTTTATTCGTCTGTTCATTTGGCATGAAGTGGATGCGCGATGCGGTCGTTACGTCAGCCCAAAAATGACCTGCTCATCACTAGAATTCTAGGTAGCTCAGTGGTTAGGGCATCAAACTAGTGACTGGAAGGTCGTGACTGTTTAATAGACTTTTTTACCGATACGGCGGCCATATTGAATTTATTAGATTTAAGGAGTATTATGGGATGCCCAGGGGAACTCGCTCAGAATTCACGCGCGCTTTTTGGGCAAAAAGAGAACTTCAATGTATATTTCTCAGGAAAACGGCGATCATTATTACATCCAAACACGGCACAACGATCTTTTTTCCCATAACAATCTTTTCCTAGGAAAACTTAAAAAAGATTGGCTCGAAAAGCCCGCGTAAATACTGATGCGAGTATATCAGATCGTGCTCATGCCCCTTGGGCATCCCATAATACTTCTTAAATCCAATTAATTCAATATGGCCGCTGTATCGGTAAAAAGGTCTATTCCCATCTGGAACTCAGAAATTTCCTCTAGGTTCTTCTCTCCACACAAATCATTTTATTTACTAAAAAGAGGTGATTAATCACAAAGGGGTCATCATTTCTTTCGTGGTTTCTTTCTTTTTTGCCTTCTCCAAGGCGGCGTGGCTACGTCCTTAGAGGAAATTTCGGGTCACTTTTAAAACTCTGGGTTTCGACCAAATGGACTCACCTGCGGACTAAGAGGGTTAAATAGTCCACAAAATAAATTCCCACCAATTCCACTTATCAGGTATATCAAGCATGTACGCACAGTTCTGTGAACAAAATCAAATAGTTTAAGGCGTTTCCAGGGCGAAAAGTTTTCATTACAGAAGAGAAATTTGAATTCGTCCATGAATTCATCCATTCATATTTCGAAACGTAACATAGTTAAAATTGAACTTAATAACTTAAGAAGTGAGGCGTATTACGTTGAACCAATTGTTGATTATACCATCACCTTCACTGCTACGCGACCTTCGAAATAAATCACTTGGAAAAAGATTTCTATCAATCTAACGATACAAACAGCGGCGGCAGCTTATGTGGAAACTAAGCAGTCAAAAAAACACGGTTTATTCCAAAACAGGAACGATACATTTAGCTCCGTAGATGTCCGTATTTAACTACCATAAAACCCGCTCCTGAGAAAAATCGCCTGGATCGCCCCTGGACTGAGTTCAAGCCACCGACAGCTTAAACAAATGAAAGTTTACGGTAGTAGAAAATTCGGGTGCGTTTAGGCAGGGTGCACAATCATCTGAGAAATAAAAAGTTATTTTCTGTCTACGATAATAATATTTCCTGAGAAATAAAAAGTTATTTTCTGTCTACGATAATAATATTTCCCTTTTTTTTCGTTCAAGATTACTTCAAATCTTTGGCCATTACAAAGAATGTCACGCATGACGAAACACGTCAGCAAAGCTGGCAAAGTTGACCCGGGTGATAGGGTAACCCTACCTGTGAAATTTGCTTGTAAACCAGAGCGATCTTTAACCCGCTTGCTAGGGTAACCCTAGCACAAGGGTAACCGATTTTCTCGGATGCTGTTAAGTAAGTAAGTAAGTTAAGTAAGGGTAACCCTCTTTCCTTGTAAACACGCCCTTATTCAGCTGGTCGAAAATTTGTATGAACGCAGCCCTAGTTCAAATCTTCCTTCTTATTGTTTCACGCTTCTTTTTGGATTAGGTGATTTCTAAAGAGAGATCTGAAGACCTACCCAATTTCTCTCTCAATCAGTATTCCCACTGGAATCTGGAAGAACAGATTGGTTACCAAATGAATAACACCTGACAGAAAAAAACAAAGATGGAATTACAATTTAAAGTAGTACATCTTGAGACAAGAGTACAAGTTAATACCTTTAAGTATGGAAATAACTATACTTAGGTGATTCCGCCATGAGAAAGGACCATGACAGAGGCAATAAAGGTGGGGAGAAAAACAGAAACAACTAATGAGTTTCTTTCTGTAAAATTCGACAATAAATTGCAAAAAGTCTGCCAAAGAGCTGGTTTATTTGAATGGAAAGATCAGGAGCCCACATGACAACCTAAAACAAGCAGCTTCCATGTACTCGTTTCGTAGCGATTTTACGGACCAGGTTATGTTCAGAACGTTTTTGGTGCCAATTTATAATCTCGTTTAAGTCCCGCGCACCAGCTGTCAAAAAAACCCACACACCTGAAAACGGTCATTTTGACGTTTTAATGACGTTTAGCTTTCTTTTAACCACATGCACAAAGCACAGTTTCCATTTACGCGGGAAAATGTGCTCAAGTCTAAAAATAAACAGGTCTGTGGAAACGCCTTAGCCTGTTATTAGAGTTGCTAGCTCTGTTCATGGGTTTCTGGTAGGCTTTCCTCCACTGATTCAAAAGTTGGAGTGACAATCAGTCTTGTAATAATGTGGACAAGGAACGAAAGGTTAACCAATAAGAAAAACTTGACAAAAATCAGTCTCTAGCAATAATATAAGTAGATACAATCGAAAAAGTTTAAATTCTTCAAAGTTTTTGGAAAATAAGTCTTCATATCTTCAAGCGCCTAACTTGAAAGAAATCACCAAAAATCTGACTACTTTTCTACACAATTGCCTGATCATGTGAATTCTCTGCTAAATAAAGTATAATTTCAGTTGCGATATTGGAATTAAAATCTTTTCTTTTCGGTGGCATGGCTGAAAATTAACCAAATCGAACTTACCAAGATGTAAGAATATTGGAGTGATCAGCCTGTACCACTGGTGACCAGAGGTCTTGTCTTTCACTTTATACATTCCACAAATCCCATCCAGGCAGTTCACATCTTTGCACAGAAGCTATATCATTTTGAGCGACAAAATAAACCCTTAACTTCTTCTGGCAAGTTATGATGTTTATGGGAGTTAGTCAAGAACATGCTTCATAATATATACCAACTCTCTTGGATTATCCAGGAGTCTGGATACAGAAGAAACCTCCCTTCTTTCGTAGCATTTGGCAAAAGCATTAACCTCAAATTTTCCAAAGTTACAGAGAAATCATGCTTTTTCTAATTTACGTTATGGCTCAATTTTCCTATTTTCATACAGCACATCTTCACCAGTTGGTCATTAGCTTGATGGCCCAATTGGGACAGGAACATAATGGTGAATTTACTTGTGCAATAGAATTCTGAGAAAAAGTAAACGAGTTCCTCAATGCAGTAGCTTGCGCTTAAAATGGCCGGCTTCTTTAAGTCACTAGCATGATTAAATTCAACTTTTGACTAAGCTTAGCTTAGCTTTGGGGGAGTGAGTTCAGAGCCACCTTAACTTTTTTGAAAATTCAAGGTTGCCCTGAATTCACTCCCAAACTTTTTTTATACTTCATAAAAGGTTAAATTTTGAAATTCTGGCTTCATGGAAAATTTTCTTATGTTTTTTTTCAACAGGTCATACTGTTGCTATGGTGACCTGTTATGTCATGAAAGTGACCAGAACTTTTTTATTTTTATGACAGAAACAATTGACACAGAGTGGTAGTTAGGTGATCCCCCATCAATCAAACATATAAAGTGCTAAAAATGCTGGAATTGAAATTGTTAGAAGAAGCCAACTTTAGCCACGCCCAATGCTATGTTTCGCCTTACCTTGTCTTTGTGCCAGTGACCTCTTTGAAATGAACACTTTGACTGGGAAATCACTTGACATTGGCAGTACAGACCCAGACAACAGGGTCTGAGTGTTATGCCACGGGTACAATTCACACTATTGGAAGTACAGTTCTCGGAATCAATGACCACACCTGGACAGCTGAAATACACAATTCAACAAAATAAGAAACAAGTGCCCCTTTCTTTGTCATCAAACTTCCCAGTAGCACAATAAGAAGTCATAAAAATCATAGCTCTCCATGAACTTCAGGACCAATTTCCTAAGAGCAACAGGGTCTCTGTCATAGGCAGATTCAGTAATTTTTTTTATTGGAGCAGTCTAAACTTGTGCACATCACTGAAGCTATTTCGAGGCTATTAATAAATATATTATTACACCCTTCTTGGAGAAGAAATATTATTTTCAAGCACACCCCAAGTGATTCTACAGTAGTACCAATTTCAGTTTCTAAGCAATTACATGCATTTGGTTGGAGGGGAACAGACTAAGCGGACCCTCCCACCCTACAACTGGCTCGCGAAAGCAGCCGTTTTCCCTCGCTCCTGGCCGCTGGGGAGGTTTTGCGAGGAGGAATGTCTGCGACTAAGCGAAAGAAATTCCACACTGATGACATCAAATCTGTCCCGCAAAATCCAGTCAGAAGCACTGATTGGTTGACAGAGTAGTTATATTGTTTTAGCTATTGTTCACAAATGACAGACAAACGGCCACAAAGGTCAAATGTAAATGCCATGAATCTCTAACAAAACAGTCAATATTTGTGGAATATAGTCTTCTCTAGAAGAAGCACTTGAGTTTTGCTGGGGCTCATTCGCAGACACGTCAACACTTTACAAAAATTGACCAGGAGAAACGTAAAATTGAACAAATTTGCATTTGGAACCCTATGACTATCAGATTTACTATGTAAACATTGATTTACATCATCAGTATGGAATTCCTGCTGCTGAGACCTGTTCCTCCATGCGAAATGTCCCCAGTGGAGAAGACTAGCAAGGAGATTAACACAGCTGTTTTCGAAGGCTACTCAGGATGGAAAAAAGATAAAATCCTGTGTCAGAGTATAGAGGTAATTAATAAGACAAGGTCCCCAGGACGTTTCTAGTATCTCATATCTGATTCAACAAGCTTTTTGCAATCATTAAAATTACAAAATATGTCACCTTACCTTGCATTTTTCATCATCCCACACTCCCCATTAAAGGAACAGCATACAAAATCACTCTCATTCTTTTCTATTGACTTGACTCTATTTTCAATAACTTCCAATTTTTTCATGCACTGGTAAAAGTTAATACATAAAAAGTAAACCAAATATTAGTAAATTCCAATTAAAGAATAATTGTTGCTGAAATTTTTGTATAAAGGAATGATGATCAACAACATTCAGTTCCAGAAATAAAACTGAATTCTGAGCAGGAAGGGCCAGTGTCAGTAGGCACAGAAATAGTGGGAGGATCCAGGAGAAAATAACAGAGAAACCTTCATTAAGAACACTTTTTCATTTTTTATTAATTTAAAAGCATTTTATATAAACAGAGATTTGCCATGTAGTTATCTACTTTTGGAAGTGGAGGAACATTTAAAATAAGCTTGACCCAAGTTGGGATATCCTGAATCAAAAAGAGGCGACCCTGTGTGGATTTAGCTTTTATTTCCATTTCACCAGCCAATACCCTCTTAAGTCATGGTAGGATTTTTAAAAAACCAGACAAATAGAACCAAAAGAAATCCTAGGTGTTTGATTCCCTCTTTGTTGCCTTGAGTTAAATCTTAGTGGCAACCCTAGAAAAAATTCCCTCTTGAGTCATAGCAGGATAAACAACCAGACACTGAAGTGAGGGTTTTTGGATGTCAAGCCTTGTCCAAAAACATCTTAGCTGCGAAAAAGACTACTGCAGAAGGAGTGGCGCCCAGGCATTGATCCACATCCAATCCTCCTATCATTCTTGAATTCTTGATTCCGTCCCGAGGATTCAAGATTTCAGATACTCAGTTCTGGATTCTTTGTCAGTGGAATTTAGATTCCAGATTCCAATTTTTAAATGGAATTCTGGATTCCTTGACCTGTGTTCATGATTCCAAAGCCCGGGATTCCGGATTCCACAGTAAAATGTGCTAGATTCCGGATTCCACAAGCAAAAATTCCCCGAATTGCAGATTCTGGATTTCCTTAAAAAGGGGCGATACATCCTTTTTTTTCCTCTTTGGATTTTATGTCCCATGTGATTCTGCACTTGCAGAATTCAAAAGAAATTTTACCTTGAGGCATAAGGCATCAAGGGCGAGTTATCATTAAGACATTTAAGAATAACAAACTTTGACACCAATAAACTTACCGGTCCAAATTTCGCACCTACAGTCACAAGAAAGGAAGAGTTGGGACCAATGAATCCATTGACACCAGAGTACCTAGATACCTTTTCCTTGTGCACTGAGTCATTATTATTATTTGCTATAAAGCCAAAAGTGTTGACTGATTCACTCATAACAAAGGGTGAAAAACTAATATCTTCAATTCCACCAACCACACAAATGTAGATGATAAGTGCACAGTGTACAATTGTCACCACAGTTATGAAGAATGGCCGATGGTACCTCCTTGGTAGATTGGGAGGCAATTCGTCACTGGTGATGCTTATTTGAGTGTCTACAGTTCCTGATCGTGAAGACCGTTTTTCTGGCCGTGGAAAATTATCACCACAGTAGCTATATACAGAGTATTCAGAATGTTCATCATTACTTGGTATCTGTGAGTATCGTCGTCCTGAAAATTGACATTGATAGTTGATTAAACCCATGTGATACAGTTTATACCTAATTTAATAAAATTTAAGGTTGCTTTGGCAATTGGTCATTGGTAATGGTCACTGAGCATTTGGGCATGCTGAACTCATTGCAATGATTAGCCTGCATAGCAGGCGCTAGGAAATAATTGGGTACAAGAAAGAACGGGCGCGCTCGAGGGAGACACGCGAGTGGAGTGCGTCTCCCTCGCGCACACTTCTTAACCCTTTAAGCCACAATATCCACAGAAAAATTCTCCAAACTTGTCTTTATACATTTCCTTAAGGAATAAGTTGAGAGAATTTGGTAGAAGATCAAAGCATTTTCTCTTAGGTGATCATTTTATTAACTCTCATAACCATTTCTCTTGGTAACATGTATATGGATACTGTTAGGAGAAAATTGATCTTGGTCACTATCGGGACTTAAAGGGTTAATTCTTTCTTGCGCTCATTTATTTCCTAGCGCCTGCTACGCAGGCTATGCAATGATTAGCTGGAGTGACCACCAAGCAGTAGCTTCCCAGTGTGCAATTGCTCAATGCCCAAAGCAACAGTTATTGGATCAGGTATAAAGATCGGGGAACACTGTATACTTGAAGGTTGAGTTGACCCTACTTAACTAAATAAAACGATATATATCAACAATTAACAACAGGTGATATAAAAAAAGAAACTGGTTTAATCAGTCTGCATGCAACATAAATTCCCCTTTCTCTTAATGAACTAGAGTGGAAAATTCACCAGCAATTTTTCAGTTTGAAAGGTAATCAAGTTGGAATATTCAGTGGAGTTCTGATTTCCTTCGGTGAAATTTTCAGCGATGTAACTATATTCATTGTATAAGCTACCTTTGTCATGTCTCAGATTTCATGTTTCAGCATGTTATAATCATGCAAACCCTACGGATATCTAAAAGAATCGATTATTCATGTACTTGTCTCTACTTCCTGTTGATAGTTGGGTCACGAGACGGAATAATAAGTCCCTTTACGTGCGTTCATTTATAACACGCAAGTAGTTAGAAGGCACGAACTTTTTTCGCTTATTTACACTTTTTTTTAAGTCCAATACATTATATTAACTATGCTGATGGAAGTTAATCACGAGTATAGTTGCAACTCCGTTTATAACTTCTTTCCTTCTTGATTAGTTTCAACTCTCCAAACAAGCTGCTTTGAAACTTGCAGCACGTATAAGAAACTTAAGTTTATATATTATAAGCAACATAATTTTTGTCATTTCTTACCATTAGCTGGATGTCTAAGGAGGGGTGTTCTTTCCATTATTATTTAAAAGTCTTTAAAAGGCTTCCTCTTCGGACGCATATTCGCACTTCTCTCGACACTTCTCCGTTGCAAAACTGAAACTGTATCCCCTGCTCTGCGCATTTCAGTTTCGATTTCAGCGCGTCTCGGAGAAGACTGGGCCTCATGTGCTCGAAATACAGTCAACTCTCTTTAACTTTATAGCGGACAGTGTAGTAGTGTAGTGTGGTGTAGTTGGTGTAGGGACCTTAAGTTAGTGTCCTTTGTAGCAAGAGTCCGTAATAGCGGGAGTTTATTTCAGTCAAATGTCTGTAATTTATTTTTGCCCGGAATTTATCTGCTGTCCGTATTATCGGGGTGTCCGTTATAGCGGGGTGTCCGCAAGGCGAGAGTCGGACTGTAATCAACAGCGTCATCAACGGCGGAAAACCGTTTCCACGCCTTTTTTTCACACGAGTTTGCTTTAAATTCTTTTCTTTCGTAGCCAGTCAGATATCTAAAATCAAACAAAAGAGAAAAAAAAAATGAGTTTTACCCCCACCTACCCACCCCTCCCTCAGCAACGTCGGAATTTTTCGTACCCAGTCTTTCGTACCTCTGTTGTCCTGATAACAGCGTCATTTTGGTCCCGGTTGTGAAGGAATTTTTCATGCTTTCATGACTCTCTGTTCGCATTGAGCTTGTTGTTTTGACCCACTGAGTTCGCGAAACAACGATGAAAAGACCTCTGGTAAGTAAAGCAGGCCTTGTTACAATGTTTAAAAAATATAGTGGAGCATAGCCACGGAATTTTTTTCGCGCCACAAACCACTGAAATTGAACTGAACATTGAAATTAACCTGAATGTACAGTTTCTGGATAATTTTGTTATGAATGCTTCAAGAAATAATTTCCCTCAAGACGTGTCAAATTTGTCAAACACACTCGTAACCTCAAATACTCTGGACATTTTTATTTAAAAAAGTACTATTCTATCAGATAATAATCTGAATCTTCAGTTAAGCTTTATGAGTTTTGTATTTATAAAAGATGAGTTTTGTACGTTTTTTTATTACTTCAAACAAATTAATTTTTAATGCAGACGCTTTTCCATCGCTGTTAATGTTCATATTTAAGGTCATTATTATTCTGCTACTTTTTTGTCGTCTTGCATTGGAAAGTAAATTATTAACTAGTTTGGACAAATATTAAGACTTAAGTTTACATACATATTAAAGAGTGGAATATTTTGTGTATTTATTATTCAACTTTGAAACTAAAACAATCATGAAACTATTCATGAAAGAGTCATTCTCACCACTTGCACAATTCTTATTGTATACCATGATCTAAATTTAAATTTTGCATAACCATTGGTTTTGATTTCTCCTGGGTATTACTGTCTGTCTTCCCAAGAGAAATTGAAGACAATGTTGGGGGCGAGCAAGGTTTATTTGAAATTCGCAAGTAGTGAGTGCAACAAATTCTGGGTGTGGCAAAATGAACAACTGATTTGATACTAGAATATGCTTTAATTCAGCATTGATGGTGGAACATGATGTTGGAATGATAAATAATTCATAACAGTCGCTCAAGATCTCAAGTGTTAATGTCGCCTCTGCACTTGTCTTGTGTTCCTAAACGAAAGCACCCAGTTTAGGCTTATATAATATAGAGAGGCCTATTAATTAAAAGAGGCCTTGTTGTGTTAACAGCTGAAATTTTGGTAGGGCTAATAAATAGAGAGGCATATTTTTGGACTTTTATCAGACTCTTCTGTTGAAATTATTTCTTGACTTTGTTCTCTGGAAGGTCTTCTGGATAATATTTTAATTTATTGTTATTATTTATAGAGATCAACCAGTTAGCCTAAATGCTCATCTCCAAATCTTAAGTGTTTAATAGTAGACATAACTTTAGCTACTTGACTAATGGCTTCACTCATAACATGTAATTGTCCATTGATTTCAGAGCTGAGAAGAGGGAAGTGATACTACCATTCTCACCGGAAGTTTTCTAGTCTGCTTGGAATAGAACACAGAATGTCTAGAGCAGGAATTGTCTTCTTGATAATATGGAATATCATTCTCCAGGTGATAGACTGACGTTTTATGATTTAAAAACCATAAACTGTAAGACACTTTGTCTTTAGCTTAATCTTCATTTTCATTTGTTTCATGTTGTGTTGTAAGCTTCAAATGTAACAATTATGTACTTGAAATACTAAAAAATAAATCATGCTTTAAATTTTATAATGTTTCCAACATTTCAAGCCCTGAAGGCCCAGTGTACACTTACCTAATCTTTTTTCCGATATATTTTTTTTATATATTGTTTACTAGGGTTATGCAGAAGCTACTTGTTCAATTTCGTGTTTTAATGGTGGCACATGTATTGCCACTCCCAGTGGACAGTCTTGCCTCTGTGCTGCAGGGTTTACAGGTAGTGACTGCTCAGTCAACATAGATGAATGCTCCACACACCCATGTAATAACAATGGAACTTGCATTGATCAGGTATGCAAAGTTAGATTTTGATAGTTTTTCTTTTTTTACTAATTCCTTTCTTCTACTATCAGCAACATAAAGTATTTATTATTAATGTCACTGGGGGCCAGGGGATGAGGATTCCCCTTGGCTACTAATGACCCATGGCTTAATAACTTATATAGTAAACAAAAGGTAGAAACAATCAAAATGACTTCATAACTGTTCCATTTCCCACCTTTTTATTGCACAATAATACCCACCATCTTGAAATCTTAGTTTTATTAAATAAACAGTAATCAATTGGAGGCAGATGTAGTAAAAAATTGCTTGACTAGAGAGTATTGATTTCTGTGACCATGATTATAACATAACTTTTGTTTGATAATTGATTTTTTTTCAGGTTAACTCATTCCGTTGTCATTGCCCCAGAGGATTCACTGGAATAATTTGTGAGACAAATATAGATGATTGCCATGGAAACCCCTGTAGAAACGGGGCTACCTGTCAAGATCTTGTTTCTGACTTCCACTGCCACTGTCTGCCAGGTTTTGTGGGAAAATCCTGTGAGACTGATGTTGACAACTGTGCTGGCGTGCCTTGTCACCATGGCAGCACGTGCACTGATCATGTGAATGGATTTTCTTGCACCTGTCTCGCTGGCTATACAGGAAGTTTGTGTGAAATTAACTATAACGAGTGTGGCAGCAGTCCGTGCAGGAATGGAGGAATCTGCGCTGATGGAGTGAATGGATACTTGTGTGTTTGTAAGGCAGGTTACACAGGACAGAACTGTGAAGTGGACAGTGATGATTGTCAACAAGCACCTTGCAAGAATGGTGGTAAGTAATTCAGTAAAACAATTCTTTGGGTTTCCTCCAAAGAAGAAGACATATGGTCTAATATCTCTGTCCATCTAAAGAATGTTATATTTCTGATAAACAACTTACAAAAGGAGATATTATTAATATAATTAACATTATTCAAAAAAAATAATAATAGAGTGATAAAAATATTTGTTATCAAAATCTTTTGCCGGCCAGACTCATATGAATAAGTGGATAGCCTATGGCCTGTTATCAGGGCTCAAAAAAAGTCCTGTCCCAGAGTCCAGGACAACTTGATTTTCTTGCTGGGCAAACATTAAACTTTTACAGCGCAGTCATGCCCAATGGGCAAGAGTGCAAGCATGTGATCTTCTAACGTTACTAAATCTTTCAAGACTAAGACAAGCAAATAGTGGCACCTGGCAAGCAAAATGTGACAGCTGCATGCCCAAAGCTGGAATTGAAGTTTAAGTTTCTTCTTGATGATTTTTATTCCAGGAACATGTTCTGACCTTGTGAATGATTTCCGCTGCAACTGTGCAGTTGGTTTTCAAGGTGCTACCTGTGAAGTTGACATTGATGATTGCCTACCTGCTCCATGCGACAACAATTCAACTTGTGTGGACTTGATTAACGGATTCTCCTGCACTTGTTTGCCAGGCTATACTGGACAAAGATGCGAACTTGATGTAGATGAATGCAGAGATCACAAGTGCTTGCACAATTCTGCTTGCATTGATGAAATCAACTCTTACAGGTGTTTGTGTAAACCTGGTTATACTGGGCAGTTTTGCGAAGTGGATGTTAATGAGTGCAATGCTCATCCGTGTCAGAACCTAGGCTTGTGTGTTGATCTGGTAAACAACTTTAAATGTGTCTGCCAAACGGGATTTAGAGGGAAGGATTGTGCAGTGAACATCGATGATTGCGCACTCAGCCCCTGCCATCACAATGGAACATGTGTTGATCTTGTCAATGATTACAATTGCACTTGTTTAAATGGCTATACAGGAAAAGATTGTCATATCAATATTGATGAATGCACAGAGAACCCCTGTCAGAATGGGGCAACCTGTATTAACAGGGCAGATGGACTAGGCCATGATTGTATTTGTCCTAGTGGATTCACAAGTGCAAATTGCTCAGTTGATATTAATGACTGTTTACCTAATCTTTGTAATGGAGGCGTGTGCTCTGATTTGATCAACAACTTTATATGTGACTGCTCTGGAACCTCTCCAGGAAGAACTTGTGCCGGTACAGTGGATGTGTGCAGTTCATTTTCATGCTGCAACGGAGGGACTTGCATCTCCAATAATTCTTCATATCAGTGCATTTGCCCTGAGGGATTCACTGGTATTGACTGTGAGGTTGATATAAATCACTGCCAATCACACACATGTCAGAATAATGCAACATGTCTCAATGGTATAAGTAATTATACTTGTGTCTGCATTAAGGGTTACACTGGCAAAAGATGTGAAACAGAGATAAATGAATGCCTTGGTAATCCGTGCAAGAATGGTGCTACTTGTGTAGACTTGGTGAATGGCTTCCAGTGCATTTGCTCTGCAGGTTTCAAAGGACATACATGCTCTGTAGACATAAATGAGTGTTACTCATTGCCTTGTTATCACGATGGGATTTGCACAGATTTGGCGAATGATTTCAGTTGTTCCTGCAAGCCAGGATTTATGGGTAGAAGATGCGAGATCAACATCAATGAATGTGGGTCTGTGCAGTGCCTACATGGTGGGTTTTGTGTGGATGGCATTAACAACTTTGAATGTTTATGTAGTCCTGGATATGGTGGAACTCACTGTGAAGTGAACATTGATGACTGCGCACGTCAGCCTTGTAAGAACTCAGGCAACTGCACTGACTATGTGAATAACTTCCAGTGTGCGTGCCCGCCAGGTTATACAGGGCGACAGTGTGAAGTTGACATTGATGACTGTGCCAGTCAGCCATGCCAACACAACTCCTCATGTACTGACTTGGTGAATGGTTTCTTGTGTAACTGCCCTGTGGGTTACTCAGGTATCCACTGTGAAACAGATATCAACGAGTGTCTCACAAAGCCATGTTTTAATGGAACATGTCTTGACCAGGCAGGCAGATTTGAGTGCGTCTGTCAAGCTGGTTTTACTAGTCATCTTTGTGAAGTCAACATAAATGACTGCGCTCAGTCTCCTTGTCTAAACGGGGGCAGCTGCTTTGATATGATTGAAGACTTCTTTTGTAAGTGTCCCACTGGGTTTACAGGAAGAACTTGTGCAGTGAATATTGATGACTGTTCTCTTCAGCCTTGTCAGCATAATGGCAGCACGTGTGTGGATGGTGTCAATGCATTTAGCTGTATTTGTGCATCAGGATATACAGGAGTCAATTGCTCTGTTGAGATAGACAAGTGCGTCCCTTCACCCTGTCACAATAATGCTACCTGCACCAATGAAATAACTGACTTTAAATGTTGGTGCCCATCAGGATTTAAAGGTAGGATTCTGTGTTTTCACCTTTTTTGATAACCAAGTTTAAAGTGATAATGTTGCAAGCTTTCTTTACATTACAAAATGATTAAGTTGCACTTCCCAAATACCGACACCAAAGGGACAGAGCGTAGTGTCTGTATTAAGGAGGTGTCCATTATCATAGAGATAACGATCTCTGGGACTAATACAGCTGTCCATAACGGAGAGGTATTCCTGTTATAGAGATGCTTGTAAGAAAGGTTTCACTGTAGAGTTAATAAACTTCGTCTTTTGCTCAGAAGCAAAATGATACTGCAGCGTGTCACCAAATGACCTGCAAGCAATCTCTCTTTTTCAGTGTTTAGCAAAGCAGGCAACAAACCTGCCAAGAGCCAGGGAAAACCCTTTCTCCCCTTCCCCCAATCCTCACTCGCGTCTATTCTTGGGTGGCGCATGCTGGTGACTTCTCACGATTCGCATATCCCTACATGAATGCAACCTTTCGCCGCCGTTTTTCCCGATCCGACTGACCGCCCTTGGGTCTCCGAGGATGAGAAGAGATTGCCAGTAGACTAGTTACCAAAATACTTGCAGAAAATATAGTGCTGTTGTCCAAAAGCAAATGGGCCCTGTTACGAGCTCCCCACTATCTATCGAGACGTTTTGTCACGTGATTCGCAGTATAAATCACGTGACAAAACGCCCAAATATATCTAAAAAGATTCCGCAATGGAATGGAAAGCTTGTGTGTAAAAAGTTTTTTCCTATCCTATAGTGTAAATTGACGTCGTTTATTATATATGTAGTAAAATAAAACAGGCTGAAATGTCATTATTTTTTTTAACTTGGTGATTTAGGTCGCTATTGCGAAGTGAAGGAAAGCATTTGTATCTCGTCTCCATGCCAAAATGGTGGAACTTGTCTTGACATCCCAGGAGGATTCTACTGCATCTGTCCACCAGGTTTCAACGGAAATACATGCAACGAAACAAGAGTAATTGATAAATGCGCCAGCATGGTATGTTTACATGATGGCAGATGTGGCCATGTTGGAAACCAAAGCAAGTGTATCTGTTCTGAAGGTTACCATGGAAAACATTGTGAGTTGAAAACTGACAGGTGTCAATCATCTCCTTGTCTTAATGGTGCTACATGTGTTGATAATGGTGACCTGGTGTTTTGTAAGTGTCCAGTCGGGTTTGTCGGGAGACACTGTGAAGAAGGTGGGTGGAAAATTTTTCTTATGGTGCTTTCTCTTGATAAGCAGAGTAACAAATGATAAAGCGAAAGCACGTGGAACGGACTGAATGCGACTTCCGGTTCTTAAATTGTTGCTTTGCCATTGGTCAAGCTCGTTTAAGATCTGCGCGCCCTGTCATTACTGCCGTCACGTTTTCATTTCTGAATCTGTCTGATATGACAGGAGAGGCGTCCGCAAAATTCTTTGAGATGTCTGAAATATAGTTTCTAATCCCCCGCTCTGTCGCCGGTGAGGAGAACATTCTCACCCAACGCGCGACTTCAATCATACTATATTCAACCCTCCCCCCCCCCCCCCCCACTTCTTACAGGACGTTCCAAAATAATCTAACTCCAGCCATCCCCTCCCCACAATTTTCCTGTCCATTAGGTCGTAATAAAATTACGCCCACCCTTACGATCTATAACTGAACCGCACACGTTGAGAACCAGATTAAGTTATAGTCTAAGTACTTTAACCTTTATAACCGTTTGTGGTTGAAACGCGTTTATTTTCAGGTTAGGCTCTGGTGATGGACTTTCATACCCGATTATATTTCTTTTTGGCTTTAGCGCGGGGCATTACCGCTTGGACGGTTGGGGTACAGTTGTTCTTACGTCAGCAGTGTTTCCTTCAATGCATTTCTTTACAGGCTTTGACCACTGCATCGTGCGAGTAGCAGACAGCAATCTAACATTCCCATCGAACATTTGTGGACCTCACGGAGCATGCGTTAGCCGCCGTACTGGATTCCAGTGCATATGCCATGCGGGATATTCAGGCCTTCTCTGTCAGTATGGTAAGTGGGTTTATATACAGTCTTTTATGTTGGTAACAGTGGAAGCGTAGATCGAAGGTGCCCAGAGCAGGCTGCAAGATTATTTTACTGATTTCCTCAAAAATATCACAAAAAAGGAAAATGAGACTGCGAAATTAGATTCGTCTGCTTACCGTCCTTTTTTCCAAATCCCGAGTTTAAATACTGTATTTTCTCAGCCTTATGCCCCTGAAATTAACATGACAGTATGTAGCTTTTCCGTCTTTTTGTTGAACTGTTATTTTCTTTTGCAGAAATAAACGAGTGCTTGTCGAATCCGTGTACTGTGGGAATGAAGTGCATCGATGCAATTAACCAGTTCACCTGTGTGCCTCTCAGTGATTACAATAAGATAGCTAACGGTCGTGAGCTGATATCAGGTATGGATTGATGTGTGATTGGTTGTGATGTGATGAAAGGTAATGTGATGTGATGTGGTGAGGTGTGATATGATTTAATGTGATGAGGTGTGACGCCATGCGATGCGATTCTATGTGGTAATGATGTGATGAGATATGATGAGGAGTGGCGTGATGAGGTGTGATGTGATGAGGTGTAATGTCATGTCATTTGATGTCATGTGTTGTGATGTGATGAGTTTGGATGTGATGAAATGTGATGTGACGCTGGATTAGTGCAGGGCTGTTTTCTGTTCAAGTTACGCTCAACTGGCTTCTTGACAGGCTGAATCAGACATAGGGTTCGTAGGTCTAAATTGACACCCAAAGGCTACAGGCAAGCAAATTTTACCATTTTTCTATGAAGACAACTGTTCTGGTCTGTTTTTTCCTCCAGATTCGTCCACCAAGCCTTCATATCTCGTTCCCGTCATCGTAGTTGCAGTTGTAGCCTTAGTATGTATGGCAGTTCTCCTCGCATTTAAACTGAGGGTCGGGAGACAGAGAAACGGGCGAATGAAGCTCACAGAGAAACATGCTGACACGCTACCGCATCCCTACCCCGAGGAAAAGACGTTTGAGAACCCCATTTACCAGGTTAGCAAAAAACGAGGAGTTTGTAACTTAAATGCAAAAGAAAATAATTAACAATTATTCCTCGAGCCCGAATGGGCTCTGAGTCTATTGACCAGAGGCCATGAGGGCGAGAGGAATAAGTGTTTTAGTAAAATCCAACTAGTTGGTCAAAAATATCGAGAATAAAAAACTTTTAGCTAGTTAAAGCTAGACTTTAATCCTTTTTTGCCGCCAAAAGTCCGCGCTTTTCGCTACTAGTGGGCTATAACATATAGCCGAGTAGTAGCTCAACCAATCAGAACGCGGCATTGATAACAGACCACTAGCTGGATTTTACTAATAATAATTAGTCCAGGCTAACCCACAAAAAGGGTGTTTCTGAGTTCCTGCGTGAGTGCGCAATGGGCAAGGGACCAGGCAAGTCATCCTCAAGCAAAATCTTTAACTAAGACGAGCAAGAAGTGGTCGCAGGCAATCAAAATATGAGAACTGCTTGCCCAAAGGACAAGCTGGAATTCACGGGGTTTTTTTTCAAGCCCTGATTATTGGGCGTTTTCTCGTCGAACTTGCTCTGAAACGCTCGCTGAGCAGTCTGCCCAATTCCTTTCTAACTCATACCCTGAGGTAAAAGTAAAAGGAATTCCCTTTGATGAAATTTCCCTTAATAACTTTCAGCCATGTGAGAAGGTGATAGCTGTGGAGTACCATGACGATGTTGACGCCTTAGAGGCTCTGAGACTTCACATTGACCAGGAGCTGATGGACCTCTCCTTCACAAGTGAAGGAGGAAGCTTGGGAACTAGAGATTTGAAGAAAACCACTTCAGCTCCAGATCTCCGCAATTTGCATCTCACCGTCAAGGACTTGGAAACCAGCAGCGTGTGTTCTGTGGATGATTTGTCCCCAAGAAACTCCCCAGGATCTGTAGGAGCAGTGCGCGAAAATGGCAGCGCGTCTCGAGATGGTAATGTCAAAGGAAATATGAAACAATCCAAAGAATGGCTTGATACTTTTCTTTAAGATGCTAACAGTCGTTGTAACTGTGTCAATGCCTTAAAATTTGTGTCGCTTTCGTAAGACTGAAAACAAAGTAATTTTTTGTCAGTCAGAACAGCCGCTATCGTAACAATAAACCGATACGAAATCACTTAAGAGTGAATACTAGGCACAAAACCAACTTCTGCGAAGGAGTCCTGGTTTCAATCTAACCTCCCATTGGTCGAGAAAGGAACAGCCCAGGATGATTAAGCCTGCCGACTATACAGAGAATCATTGCTTAACCATTGTAATCGTAAGAATTCTCCCAGAACGCTACTGTTACGTCGGTCTGAACTCAACTAGGAGCAGAAAAATCACGAATACTAAATCGTGAGCGTTTGTGGCTTAAGTTTATATTGGTCAAATATGGAGTGCGCGCTTTAGTGCTTACATCAAATCAGCTAGTGGAAAAAGCTAGCACTCTAAATATAATCTTTGGAATTCCCTTTTTCAGGGTGGCTAAATTACTTTAAGAATTTTTCAGCTTGGTTAAAAGCTGACCTTATCCACCGTCTTTTGAGGAGTAATCGATCGGAACGATAAAGTTCTCGTGGAACAATTTTTTTGTTCTCTAACGTAAAATCTACTAACGCGCCGCCAAGAGTTTGTGAAATTTATCAATTGTGCCTCGCTCAAGGCTATAGCCTTTAATATTATTTATTATTCATACTTAAAATTTATACCATAAAGTGTATTTATTTTCCTTGCTTGTCGAGTGAAGTATCCTAAATTAATATTCTTAAACCGTCGTTATTGGCAAAAAGCAATTAATTATGTCGGTAAAACTATATCTGTAAAAATATCGATAAAAGTGAACTTGCTTATGGCTTAATTTACCACTTAATTAGAAATACAGTGTATTAAGAATCTAGTTAATTTGCCGAGTAAAATAATATGTATTAAGAAATAATAAGCTGAAATATAGAATAATGAATTGAGAATTTCAAACTGCTCTGTTTCAAACTTTTGAACAATTCAACAAGACTCTCTAAGAGCGTTAACTCGGGCTACAATACGTCAGCGTCCTGTAACTAGTCTAAACGAATTGAAAGGATGGAAACTTGAAACTTTGGGCAACATTTTTCAAGTTTCAATACTATTCCTGCAAAAAGCACCTAAAAATAATAAACAGGGGAACATGGGGAAAAAGGAAAAATGAAGAACAAAAGGAACTGGGGGAACAGGAAAACAGGGGAACATGGGGCACGGGAGCAATCGGGCAACAAAGGGATGGGTCAAAAGAGGAGCAGGGCACAAGGGCAATAAGAGGAGGAGAGGAACAAGGAGAACAGGGGAAAAAGGGAGAACAGGGGAAGAAACGGATGGGTGAAGATGGGGAAAGGGGAATAAAAGGGACAGGGTAAAAGGGAAAACAAGGGAAACAAAGAAATATCGAACAGAGCGAAAAAGAGGAAGAGGAAAAATGGAAAAAAAGAAACAGGGGAACAGGAAAATAAGGAAAACAGGGAGACAGGAGAATAAGGGGAACAGGAGAACAAAGGGAAAAGCGGAACAAAAGAAACTGGGGAACAAGGAAAAAGAAGAAACAAGAGGAAAAGGGGAAAACAAATCGTAAAAAAGGGAAAAAGAAGGATCAAGGGGGAAAAGTACGAACAAACGGAAACCAGGGAGAACAAGAAAAAAAAAGGGTAACAAGGCTAACAAGGGGGTAACATGGGGTACCCCTTGTTACCCCTTGTTGCCCTTGTTGCCCCTTGTTACCCCTTGTTACCCTTGGTACCCCTTGTTACCCCTTCTTACCCTTGTTACCCTTGTTACCCCTTGTTACCCTTGTTACCCTTGTTATCCTTGTTACCCCTTGTTACCCTTGTTACCCCTTGTTACCCTTGTTACCCTTGTTACCCTTTGTTACCCTTGTTACCCTTGTTACCCCTTGTTACCCTTGTTACCCTTGTTACCCTTGTTACCCCTTGTTACCCTTTGTTACCCTTGTTACCCTTGTTACCCTTGTTACCCTTGTTACCCCTTGTTACCCTTGTTACCCTTGTTACCCCTTGTTACCCTTGTTACCCTTGTTACCCTTGTTACCCTTGTTACCCCTTGTTACCCCTGTTACCCTTGTTACCCTTGTTACCCCTTGTTACCCTTTTTACCCTTGTTACCCTTGTTACCCCTTGTTACCCTTGTTACCCTTGTTACCCTTGTTACCCTTGTTACCCCTTGTTACCCTTGTTACCCCTTGTTACCCTTGTTACCCTTGTTACCCTTGTTACCCTTGTTACCCTTCTTACCCTTGTTACCCTTGTTACCCTTGTTACCCTTGTTACCCCCTGTTACCCTTGTTACCCTTCTTACCCTTGTTACCCCTTGTTACCCTTGTTACCCTGAGTTCCGGAAACTCAAAGCAATCAACAAGCAACAGTTTTTGGAAGATATTCGTAATTCTAGCTTATATCGTGACCCCCCTAATACTCTTGATGAACTTGTGGAATGTTACAATAATACTCTAAGATCAGTATTGGACAAACATGCGCCAGTCCGGGCTCGCCACATGAAGTCTCAGTCACGTCCTCCATGGTTTAATGATGAAATAGTGAAGGCGAGACGTGAAAGACGGAGTGCTGAAAGGAAATGGCGGGCTAGTAGGCTTAATTCGGATCTCGCTGTATTTAAAGCCAAACGAAACTTTGCATTGCATGTCATGAATGAGTCTAGACGGGCCTATTATAAACAATATATTGATGAGAACAGTTCTGACCAGGGAAGGCTTTTTCGGGCCAGTAAACGCCTTTTGAATTTTCATGTAGATAGGGCTCTACCGCCTCATTCGGATGCTCGTATGCTAGCAAATGAGATGGGGGAGTATTTTGTTCACAAAATCACGGCTATTCGGTCTGCGCTGGATGCGGATGCCAGTGGCGCAACTTCGCATGCCACATCAGCCTCAACGTGTAGTGAGTTTTCTGAATTTTCTCCGCTGTCTGAGGAGAGTGTACGGAGAATTGCTGCCTCATGTGCAAAGTCGTGCGCCTTTGATCCCCTACCATCGTCTATTATGTCCTTCTGTTTGGATGAACTGCTCCCTGTTATTAGGAAAATTGTCAACTTGTCTCTTGAGTCTGGCGTCTTTGCAGATGACTGGAAGAATGCCTTAGTTCACCCCTTGCTTAAGAAAGCAGGACTCAAACCTATTAACAAAAATTTTCGACCGGTGAGCAACTTGCAGGTTACATCAAAGATTACGGAAAAGTCCGTGGCTATCCAATTACAAGATCATATGACAGCCAACAACTTATTTCCTGTCCTCCAAAGCGCATATCGGCAGAATCACAGCACTGAGACCGCGTTATTAAAAGTTAAAAACGATCTTCTGCTAAATATGGACAAAGGTCACGTCACATTGCTTGTTATGTTAGATCTCAGCGCTGCGTTTGATACTGTAGATCACGGTATTCTTCTGCACAGGCTGCAGTCCAAGCTCGGCGTTCGGGATAAGGCTTTATTATGGTTTAAATCTTATTTGGCGGGAAGAACGCAGCAGGTCTCAGTCAACGGATCGCTCTCTGATAAATTTAATCTGACTTGCGGGGTCCCACAAGGTTCTTGTTTGGGTCCCCTCTTATTCACCATCTACGCGAGTTCGCTGTTTGACATCTTGAAATCTCATCTGCCATCCGTTCACACCTATGCGGACGATACGCAGCTATATATATCGTTTAATCCCGTTGATAAGACCAGCGAGGCTGATGCTGTGATTGCGATTGAGAACTGTATTCGTGACGTTCGCGCATGGATGAGAGATGATAAGTTAATGCTAAATGACGACAAAACTGAGTTCTTGATCATTGGCACGGAACGACAGTTATCAAAGGTGTCCGTTGACAAGATCACGATCGGCCAAGCTGAGGTATCGCCTGCCTCTTCAGTGCGCAATTTGGGCACCTGGTTCGATTCTCATCTGGACATGTCGACTCATGTGTCTAAGACTTGTGCTAGCGCGTTTTATTATTTGTACAATATCCGGCACATTAGGAAGTATTTGTCTCGTGAGTCCACCGAGAGGCTTGTTCACGCGTTCATCACAAGCAGGCTTGACTACTGTAATGGTTTATTGTACGGTGCTCCTGAGTATCAAATTAAGAAACTTCAAAGAGTCATGAATGCCAGTGCTCGATTGGTTTACTGCGCACCTAAGTATTGTCACGTTACTCCTTTGCTAAGAGAACTCCACTGGCTACCAGTGCGCTTGCGCGTAGATTTTAAGATTCTCCTTGTTACATTTAAGATTCTTCACGGTGTTGCGCCTAGCTATCTTAAGGATCTTGTCTCTGTCTTACCGGACTCACGTTACCAGCTACGCCGTAACAATAATGGTATATTGCTAGAAAGACCTCGGCTAAGAACGAAGAAGACTTTGGGAGATCGCGCGTTATCGATGGCTGCCACCTTTTTATGGAACAGTCTTCCTCTGCCAATAAGACAGGAAACATCAATCGACTCTTTTAAACGCTCTGTTAAAACATATTTATTTAAGAAGGCTTTTAGTTAGATTATTTATTTATTTATTTTTAAATATTGTAATTTTACCGGGTAATTTTACTGGTTTTTAATTTAGTTATTAATAATATTGTAATGCGCTTTTGAGTATTTTTATAGAAAAAGCGCAATATAAGTATTAAATATTATTATTATTATTATTATTACCCCTTGTAACCCTTGTTACTCCTTGTTACCCTTGTTACCCTTGTTACCCCTTGTTACCCCTTGTCACCCTTGTTACCCCCTGTTACCCTTGTTACCCTTGTTACCCTTGATACCCCTTGTTACCCTTGTTACCCTTGTTACCCCTTGTTACCCTTGTTACCCTTGTTACCCTTGTTACCCCTTGTTACCCTTGTTACCCTTTTTACCCCTTGTTACCCTTGTTACTCTTGTTACCCTTGTTACCCCTGTTACCCTTGTTACCCTTGTTACCCTTGTTACCCCTTGTTACCCTTGTTACCCTTGTTACCCTTGTTACCCTTGTTACCCTTTTTACCCTTTTTTCCCCTTGTTACCCTTGTTACCCCTTGTTACCCTTGTTACCCCTTGTTACCCTTGTTACCCTTGTTACCCTTTTTACCCCTTGTTACCCTTGTTACTCCTTGTTACCCCTTTTTACCCTTGTTACCCCTTGTTACCCCTTGTTACCCCTTGTTACCCCTTGTTACCCTTGTTACCCTTGTTACCCCTTGTTTCCCCTGGTTACCTCTTGTTACCCTTGTTACCCCTTGTTACCCCTTGTTACCCTTGTTACCCCTTGTTATTGGAAATTACCCCTTGTTACCCTTGTTACCTCCGCTTACCCTTGTTACCCTTGTTACCCCTTGTCACCTCTTGTTACCCCTTGTTACCCTTGTTACCCCCTGTTACCCTTGTAAAGTAATAAGGGGTAACAAGGGTAACAAGGGTAACAAGGGATAACAAGGGTAACAAGGGGTATCAAGGTGTAATTTGGGGTAACAAGGGGTAATTTTTGGTAACAAGGGTAACAAAGGGGTAATTTGGGGTAACAAGTGTAACAAGGGGTAACAAGGGTTACAAGGGGTCACAGGGGTAACAAGAGGGAAGAAGGGGTAACAAGGGTAACAAGCGGTAACAAGGGCAACAGGGGTAACAAGCAAGAACAAACCAGTGCAAAAGTTAATTGCAAAATACGTATTCGACTGCTATGAGAAAAGAAGATCATTAGTTGTTTAGGTTAACATTGATTCCCGGGGGGGGTACTCCCATACATTACTTATATGGGTATGTGCCGCCCAACGGGGTCGTGATTTTGACTCCTGATTTAGGACGGGGTATTCATTTCAGAGTCGTTTTTCTAGAACGGGGTATGAAAAATTGTGGATCACGGCTTTATCTTCTGCTTAAAATTGTTGCTGATTATGAAGAAGCATTTATTTGATGTATAAGTCGAACAAATAAAGAAATATCTTTTTAAAAAAACAGGGCTATTTCAATTTACAAACTTTCTAGAACGGAGTATAAAAAATTGGCCCATTTCTAGAACGGGGTATCAGTTTTAGGGCGAATTCTAGAACGGGGTATAAAAAATTGGCCCATTTCTAGAACGGGGTGTCAATTTTAGGGGAAACATTTTTTTAGAACGGGGTGCCAATTTGGAGTCCCGGGCGGCACATACCCACCCAAAAAATACCCAAGTGCCCCCCCGGGCATTGATTATAGTTCCTCTAGTGTGCAATTTGTGTTATGATTTTAATTTATTTGGATAAAGTCGATATACATAGGACTGTATGTATAAGACTCCAAATAAAACATTGTCTTGTCTTGTCTTGTCTACAAATAAAGGGGGGGGGGGGTTCCTGCATAGGGTTTGTGCGTGTTAAAAGTGGGAAGGTGGTAAGTTAAACGCTGATAATTGCAAATAAAACTCGCATGTTTCGGCAATGCTGCCTTTATCAGGAAAACGTCTTCAGTTAGAAGAACAGGGGAACGTGGGAACAGGTGGAACTCATGGGAACAAACAGTTGATCTTTGGCCCGCTATCAGTCAGCGTTCAGTAACCAGCAGACGAAACGCATGCGTTCTGAAATTGAAGCCCACTCAAAACATTAATGGCGACTGCAAGCAATATGGCAACCGAACAAACAGCATTAACGGAAGATTCCAAGGACGATTCGGACGACGAAGATAAAAACAACGTCGATCTAGGAGTTGCTGGGTTACCTCAAGTTAACTTTTCGGAGTCAAAGAACGAATTTGAGACTATAAACTTGGATGGCGATGGCGACGATGAGGAAGAAGCGGACCCATCGGATCGCGATCTTTCGGACGACAAACGCAAGAAAAAATATCGTAAAAAGAAAAAACGAAGTCAGCCATTAGAGGATTCATCTGAAAGCAGTTCAGATGACGATCGAAAGACCTGTAGAAAGAAAAAAGAGCCAGAAGTCAATCCGGTAAACAAAAACTTAAATCTTACCTATTTACAAATAAGTTATTCAAATTCCGATCCAACGTCAATTGAGCTTAATTTTAATTTCAAGTATGTGGTTCGAGTGACAAGTGCTTGATCTTATTAATTTCAAGCCTTTTTAGACGTCCATTGTAACTGAAAAAACTTATTTCATGAGTTTTTGACACTTTGATCCGTCCTAAAGGTTAAATAAACAAGCTGGAAAGACTTTTTCGGATAGTAAAGTGCTCATGCTGAAAACTATGGCCAATATGAGTTGTAGGCTTTGTATATTACCTGCCTGCAAATTTGATAAGGATTTACGGTGGATATGGAATCTGTTTTCTCGAAACAATTTGTAAAACTTGCCTAGTGTATCAAAATGACACATTAAACTGTGAAACTGCAAGAACAAGCTGAGATCTCCCAAACCCAAGTGACACACATATGATGACTTTTATGACCGTCACATCAGTACTTAGCAAGCAAGCGACTGTCAGGATGTTTTGTTAACAATTCAATACTGTCTTATACTGCATATGTGGTATATTCCTTTACCAGTGAAAGAGATCCAAAGAATTTTAGTGATGTTAAATTGCAGTTGTAGTTTAATTTACTTTATGAGTCATTGTTCCTCTTACTGGTTGTCAGAGAAGAAAATCATTCAATTTGACAACCAGTAATGCTCAAATTAATATAGTGTTTTAAAAGTGCATACAATATTGTCTGTTTTTATTTTTTATATTTTCTCAGTCTGATCTCACCTGGACCCTCTGGTTGTGGTATTATGTAGTTGCTTTATCAACTGGAGCACTGAAAGGTATTGTTAATTTTTAAACTTACTTTGTGTATAATTCATGTTTTGACTTTTTATTTATGTACCCAAAGATCCAGGACAGTTGGGTCTAGATTGAAGCATTTCCCAGCTCTCTCATATATTTAGCAGCTAGTGAAAATATATGGGATGGGAGACAATTCTTGAAGTGTCCTACATCTCTGTTGCTATAACTGACTGTGCTCCTTCATACATTGGAATACATTTTGTTTGACCGTTATGTGCTTCTAAATTTGAGTTTTTTTTGTAAAAGAAAAAACTTTTATTATTCACTATCATCATTCTCTTGTACTCTTCAATTTCATGCGATAAGTATGCTATTGGAGGAAATCATGTCATTTAATTCCTGGGTGCAGTGATGACAGAACCACTAAAAGGGGTTTTTGTGAATCAAGCTTTGCAAGACAACATGTTGTACATGTTGTGGCTCAATTTTATCCTTGGATTAGATTTCATTTCCCTTTGTTGTTTGTTATCTCTTGATAGTACAGTAAAAACACTGCAGGCCATCAAATTCCCCGAGGCACCCAATCCTCCCCACCAAGGGCTTGAGATTGATAACTGCATTAAGGCCAATTTGGACGGTACGATTTTTGCTTACAACTGTTATACACGACCAGCATTCGTCATGACTTCATGACAGATCGTGTCATGTAATTTAGACCCACAACATTCATACGACACATTGTGCTTGGATGTTGTAAGTAAAAATTCTGCGTTTGTGGATGGTCAAAAGTCGTGGCATGTGCTACTCGCACATGATAGTCATAAGCAAATATCGTACCGTCAAACTTGACTTTAAAAAGCAATGCCATGCATGCCAAAAAGTGCTTGAAACTTTGTTTTAGTGGCAGAGTACCTGGGAGAGAAGCTAGCAGCATTTTTTGGTATTACAACTCCAAAATATCAATATGTAATAGATGAATATTACAGACTTAAACAACAGGTGAGTGCTACTTCTTTAAAAAATCCTAAAATTCTGCCCTTTAGCTTGAAGTGGTGACCCACCAATGAAATAGAAGAGAACTTATGAGCACGTACTCTCCTGTGATTCTTTTTAATGCTATTCAAGGTTGTTCCTTTGTTTGAGTCACACCTTGTAGATTAAACCTGACAGGGTGACCAGTCACATCAAAGTGAATGCCACCATTGAAGCAGTACATGTTGAATTACTATTAATTTATAAAGTTACGTTCAGGTGGTTTTAAATTCGGAGTCTGAGGGTAAATCTTAACTGTGGCTATTCAGCTCATGGTTTTTTCTCTTTGTGGTAATCTTTTTTTTTTCAATTAAAAATTCAGCATGAAACCCAAGTCTGTGAACAACTGCAACACTTTTCAATTATTAAAAATTAGTTTACTCACATTAGATGGAAAATAATTTTGATATTTAAGACTTGGAAACTTACCCTTGGTTTCAAAAAGAACGGACAAAAAGCATCCTGTAGTTCTAACATAAGATGTGTGGTTTTCAGGAAAAAGAAGAAGAAGAAGCAGAGAAAAGAGAAAGGGAATATGTAGAGCGAATGGCGGCTGAGAGGCTAGCTTCACTTGAAGGAGGCGATAACTTAAATCTCCACATTGATCAGGAGTTAATGAATGGCAAAGTACCAGATCCAAGTGCATCTGAAAAACCTTGAACTTTTGAGAAAAATCCTTTGCGAGCTCTAGTGTAATAATGGTAAAGACAGGGTTGTCACTAAGATTTCGAGTTGCCGGGTAAATACAACGAGTAGGTGGCGAATAAAATAGCTAGGGGTTTCCTCTTGGTTCTATTTTTCTTCTATTTTCCTTTTAAAGTAGCTAGGGGTCACATTCATAGTAGCCAGGGGAAATCCCCAGCCCCAGGGTCTTAATGACAGCCCTGAAAGGCCAACTTAGATTGAAGGAATAGAACTTTACTACAGTATTATTGGTCATAGACATTTCAGTGCTGGACAAAAATTTTCTAGCTGTACATAGAGGCAAGCTGGACAACTTCATTCCTTTAAACAAGCTTGTACAGGGTAGTGAATATCAACAATATTTATGCACAGTCAAAGTTTTAGCGTTTTCTTTCCTAGTTTAATTTTGGAATTTATCAGAAGTAATTTTTAGATTGGCTTTTGTAAGGTGCTCAAATGACTTTCTCATTTCAGAGCCAAAACTGGCTATGTAAAGCAAATTTATAGTAGCCAAAGTTGATTTGTTTACTTCTGTTAGTCTTTTTTAATAGGAGCCTTGTTTACATAATTTAAATTCAGTTTACGCTTGAATTCTGAAATTGAACTTGTTATTATGTGAGGGTCGAGAAGCAATATTCAAAAACAGGTTTTTTTTTAGAGGTGCCCAGGCACCTCAAAGTCAAATAGAAAAAGTTGTTAACGCGGCGTTATGGTCCCAGTTGTTCACAAGGTGGGTAAGTTTCTTTATTATATAAACACCAAATGAAATACCAAGTGAACTTTCACGCGAAAAGTTAATATCTTCACATGTGAAAATATCACGGTTGCTATGGCTTCATAATAAACCGCACCTTTCAGACCAAAAAACTATTTAAATAAAATGGTTTGGTATTTCATTGGTGTTTATATAATAAAATAATAGAACATAACATCGTCGCTTGGAGATACCAAAGTTCTCTTCGAGTGTTGAAAAAAATATTTCACTTGTTTGCTGCGCTCACTCGTGAAATATTTTTCAACACTCAAAGAGAAATTTCGTATCCCTGCGTGGCCATGTAATATCGTCTGTATCCAGTGAATAGCGCAATAAATTTATTATTGGTGTCCCTAACACTTATTCACTGGATAGTGAGCGATTTATCCAGCGGATAGCATTATCCAATGTGTGCACAACTGTGACATGAGTACCTGTTTTAAAAAGAAATATCATTGCCATTTTTGATGTTTTTCATAATATGGTAGTTCAATAGATTAATCAGAACACTGAAAATATTGTGAAGAAAGAAAGCTGGTCTGCACATGTAAAAACGTGAGTAAATTTACACCCTTAAGTTAAGTTTCTATTTCCTTAAAGGTAACATAAGTTTAATATAATAATACCAAAGGTGACATCACTTCCAGTTTGGCATGTGATGAATGTAACGCAAATATTAGGCTATTAAGTTTTGTCAGACTATATATCGTGGTTTGAGCCATTTGTGTTGAATGTCTTGCAGAATAAATTATTTTAACGATACTTTTTGTAAGATTAGTTTTATGGTCACAATAACAACAACACGATTGGCCAGATTCACAAAGAATTGAAAGTTAGGATAGTCTTAGGTATAATCTCATAATAAGTTTAAAAAACTGTACCAATACATTTTAATCTTACCCACAGTTCTGGAGAAAATGTTTATTTCTTTAGCTGGAATTTAGCATGTTTGGTATGTTTCACATTAAGTAAGAAGATAGGCATTCAAGGTATAAGAAGATACGTTACATTGTACGTGTATGCTGTTTACATAAAATGCACATACATTTTCTAATTTTGCAAGTTTGCTGTTCCGTCTAATATTATGAACCATTCCATTACATGTAGCCAATGCATAGCCAGTGAGGGAGCTATCCTGGGGGTACAGGGTCCACTCCATCACCAGAGCACCCCAGAGAACCTGCTCACAGTCTGTAGTGTATTACACTGAACAAAAGTTACATTTTAACAACAATTAAATTTATATGACGAATCTATCATGACAAATTTCTCTTCAGGAGCTATCTTGATCATGTAAAGACCCCTTACAGTGCTTTTACAGTGATTTGCGTATTCCCTTACCCCACCCCCCACCCCCCCTTCTCATACGTACTTTTGCTTCAGGGATACTGAGGTGACCAGTTGAGAGCCTGCATCAAAATGGGAACTTGGAAAGGGGCAACTTCGTTCCCAGGGTTCTCTCGTACTCGTCCCCTTCCGAGTAGGAGAGGACCCTGGGAACGAAAGCCGTGGGGAAAGGGATTTCGAGCGCGCGAGAAGCGCGAAGATAGCGCGAGGAGGAGGAAAGAACCATAACAAATCCCAAATCAGTGGGCGAGATATGGAGAATAGTCTGCTTTAGCAGCCGCTCGGGCTGGAGTCTCGCAACGCTCCCCGCGCTACCTTGCTCAGGCAGTGGCTCCATGCAAGAGAGGAGCTTTATCCTCTCTTGCTCAGGGTAGTAATATACGGATTTCTTGAAAATTTTCAAGACCAGGAGCCCATAACCCAGTTAGCCCAGACATATTCAGTTTCTTTTCCGGAAATACTTCTCACGTTTACGCTTTTCTTATACATTTAGCTCGCTTTTGAGAACTTCACACTAAAGCCTTTAATGATGTGTAAAAAGACTGATGAACTGAGTTAGAACAGAGATCTAATCGCTATTTACGTCATTAAGATTGAATGGCAGCCGCCCTGGTTCATTGCACAGTTTTTTTTTTTGTATATTTTTAACCAAACCTTATTACATTTGTATAAACCAAACTCAATCTCATTTGGGACTTTTTTTTTTATAATTTTAATTTTATGGCCTGAGTTACTCAAATTATTTATTCTTTTTTTCCTACCGCAGTCTCCCTCACGTTCGCGCATGACCTCGCTGACCCTTCTGATGACTTCTTCCCTTCCCTCTGCAACACAGACTAAATAAGTGACGTTCTCTAAATTTTGAGAGTCAAATTTCCTATTTGAAACAGAGTATTTGACTATTTGCGCGCTACATGCCCAAGATACCCTCCCTAAGATTTCTCTGTCAAGCTCTTTCCGGGATTTCAGCCAATCAGAAGTCCTCGGTTGCCTTGACGTCAATAAACTTACTTTCTGAAGAAAATAATGCAAAAATTTTCCCTCTTTCGTAGAAATAAAATTGGAAGAAAAAGTTCTTTACGCGCTTTGTGCCTCCTTCGATGGGGGATTATAGTTAATGCTCGAAATTCTTGGATGTTGCGTCGCTGCTGTCCGTTTTACATAAGCTGATCAGACTTGACAGAAGTCGTGATGGCCTGATTTCCAAAATGGTGGACTTCGTGCTTGCTTGCTTCGATCATGCTTCGATGATTTGAAAGCATCTGCAAAGTCAAGAAATGTAAAAATGCTATGAACCAAGAACCCAACCTTCCATGATCTCCTGAACTAGCTGACCGATCAAAGGCTGGATACAATTTTTCGTGGCTTTACAAGACAAATTTTGAGAAGAGCAACTTTCAAACCGTCGGGTGCCTTCGACGTAGACATCCAATGTGATGGGATCGATGGAAGGCGGAGGAGCGCCTTTATTGAACGATTACAAACTTGAATTCTTCTGGAAGCGTTTTCCTCAGACGCTACTAGGCGGACCTAAGCTAAAGCTGGGCTATGAAGCACCCTTCTACGTTTATTTAAACCAACTGCTGATATATTTGACACCATTCGTTCTTGGAGGTGTGTTTACCATTTTTGCGGAATTCGACATTATAACCGATGCATACGTCAACAGTTACATTTATGGCGGCCTTATGATCATATTTGTACTCAGTACACAGCTTTTTACCTGGCTTATGCGACGGCGGTCATCGAATCTTGCAAAATTTCAAAAGAATCTCTTAGCTCAAGACGACGAAATAGACTTCGTTTCCTGCTGTGGTTTTGAAACACTAGAGTTTCTCTTTCCAGGAAAGAAGTTTATGGTTAACATGGTCCTTCATGGGCTAATATCGGGAGTCTTATGTGCTCTGATGTTTCTATATTTGCTGCCATCGACATTGAATGGACTATACTCCAACACAGGGGCAACTGTTATTGTGTTTATACTTGGTTGGTGGGTGGTCTGCATAGCTCAATACTCTTTGACTTCAAAACCTCCAACAGAGCTGGCCATCTTCAGAGCCCTTGATAGCCTAGAAGTCACTCCACTGATGAGACCATTTTATGTGCTATTATTTGGAATAATTGGTGTTTTGGCAAGGTAATTTATCAACACATTACATGTAAATGCTCCTACAACACCCCCGCCCCCCCACCAGCCACTGGTGGATCTAGGGGACTTGTTAAGAGTCCTTGTATTTCCCTCTTTTTAGAAGATTCACCGCTGCCCCCCATAATAATGGGAATGACCATTCTGAGGGTGTCAGCTACTACAAGAGCAGATGCATTTCCCTCTGCCAGGAACGAAACTCTTTTTTTGTTTCAAGTAGCCTGTGTACAGACGTCCCCACTCCCTCAGGAAAAATCTAGAGAGGAGACGTCTGTGAATCGCCGTCGTTGTTCCGGCATACATTTGCGTAAATTTTTTTTTTGTTCATTCGCTGACAGGTGAAAAGGCACAGATAGGTCGAAAAATAGCTCTGGCGTCTGTGCACAGGCTAGCCGAACATGTCCACCCAAAAATCCAGATATAAGATCTCTGATTACAGTCAAGCCAGGTGAAGTGTACCTCCCAAGATCCATTAATGTATTTATTATTCAAAATTAAGTTGAACCGTTGGTAGTTGTAGATTTCAGATTCACGTGTGCATTTTTGCATGCGTAATGAGCCGTGAATTCACACGTGATTTAGTCACGAAATTTCTACCAGCTCAGTTTCCCTGAATTTGATGTAAATGTCTTCTAACACATTTAATCCATTCAAAGATTTTCATTCTGACCAAATGCAGAGAAGTTCTCTTAAAATATTCACTGCTCATTACGCATACAGGAATGCCGATTTAAATTTGACACCAGTTACGGGAACGACTAACGGATTCATTTTTTCAAATAATCAATTCATCAATAGCATCTTTTTGGGGTAAGGTTGACCTGCCTTGGCTGTTAACATTGGATTTTGTATGCCTTCTCTTTTATTTACAATACCGACTGGTACAGACAGACGCATCCACAGCCGGTGCAACAATCATCGGTGGTCTTAACTTCTCATGCCTTTTAGAGAGAGCCGAAATACAAATATCGGTAAACAAATGTCCACAAAGGCTGAGCTTTTCCCTGGGGAATCTATTCTGAGGTTCATTCACCAATCAACATTACCGCCTTTATTTGGTGGCATTAACATTACAACAATCAGAGGGTTGTCCCCAACATTCAAATGACATGCTCAATTACTCCTTCATATGTGAAATTTTCTGAGGGGAGGGGGGGACATCTGACATGTGCTACTTCCCAAACAATCTGCAAAAAACATTATGTCGTCTTGAAGTTCCGCATCAGGCCTTTTTGTCAATCAACATGTTATGTGGTTTGCAAACCAAGAATTTAAGGAAAAACTATACACTTATAGCCACATATGATTATTGAACACAATAAATATTTTCAGAGCCATTTTTTTTCTGTTATTATTATTTTAGAGAATAATTAAACATTAATTATATTTTTGCTTTAGGAATTATCCAGAGCTAGTGTCAGTTGACAAAGCATTACACATTTTATTCGCCTTCCTCCCTTTGCTGTGGACTCTGGGTATCTTGCCTCCTCTTGATGCATTGTTTTCTTGGCTGGCAGAGCAGGTCCTGGTGCTAGTGCTTGGTGGGTCACCCATGGCAACAGATTTAAGGTCAGTAACCTTGTTCTACACATCTCACAGAACTTAGGCATAAAAAAATATAACCTGTTGTCAATAGCAGCTAAGGTTAAGGGCAAAAATTAAATCTACTGGACCCAGCCTTCATTATTAAGTTGAGGTTTGAAGGTAGTGTTAACAGGAAATTGATCAATCAGTCAAAGATGGTAACACATAGTAGTGAAACTCACAAATAAACTTGTGGCCTCTGACAGGAAAGGATATCTTACTGGCCAAGAAGAGGTTTTATTAAGCATAAAGTTCTAAGAGCTGTTTCGTTTAAGTTTCAGGTTAGTCCTGTAAATTTGTGTCTTATTTTTTCCTACCTGTTTCAGATTACTTGTGATCTTTGTCTTTTCAAGTCTTGTGGTTGTCATGACAACATTCATCACCAGCAACACTGCAAATATCATGATATCTGCTTGCTTTGGCTTCATTCTAAGTGTGGACATTTTTGGCTTTGCATTGCAAGTGCAAGACAAGTTGAGCAGCATAGACACAAAGGATCCAGCATCATGTTGGAAATTAAAAGAAGTCATCATCTTTGCTGTTATGTTATCGCTAACAGCTGTCGTGGCCGGTGTTTCAAGCCATTTTTCATCTTCTGGAAGTTTGCAGATATTTGAGTCCTTTGGTTTTGTATTTTTGGTGCTCTGGGTTTTAGTGAAGATCCTGGGAGATATACAGAGTGTCAGCATCTTCTTTGGTTTATTTAGAAATCCACTTTACCCAGCAAGTATTGATTCCTCAGGGGAATTTAAGAAGAGGAAAAAGGCTTTGAAATATGTAGGACTTGTTCGGCAAGGATTGCTTGTTTATGGTAAGATTTATAATATTTATTACACCATGTCATGAATAATAAAATTATTGACACGTTGTTTATGGTAGCTTAACCCTTTAAGCTCCAATATCCACATACAAATTCTCCAAACTGATCTCCATACATCTCCTTTAACAATTAGTTGAGAAAATTTGATCAAAGATCAAAGCATTTTCTCTATGGTGATCATTTTATTAATTCTCATAGCTTTATCTCTTGACAGTGTATGGATATTGTTAGGAGAAACTTGTTGTTGGTCACTATTGGCACTTAAAGGGTTAAAACAATTAAGAAGGGGGTCATTAGATGGAAAATCGTGAGACTTACCAAGAGGCCAAACCCTTGCTGATTTAGTTGTATTATCATTCTTTTCAGTATCACCTCTACTGCAAGTTGCGTTCCTCAGTATGTTTCTCCTTCCTGGGCAGCCGAGCATTTCAAACTTTGTCCTGGCTGTTGGGACTGTAAGAGCACTGAGACAGGTAAGCCAGATTTTATTTTGAGGTGCAGATCAAAATGGAAACTCATGGAGACCAATATTTGGTTTACAAGGACATGCTATTAAAGGCCAGATGCTAAGTACTACATATATGAACCCAGTTAGAAGATCTGCAAACCCCAGAATGCATAGCAGGAACTTATTTTCTGTTCCAAGGAAAACCCATCCTTGTTACTAGAAAGCCGGCAGCTTTTTGAACTCTTAGGGCTACATAATTAAAATTTAAGGCTCCACATGGCTCAGAGTTTTCAAAGCTGAGCTCATGTAACTAATCGGATGTCCTGTGAGCACACGCATGAAATCATGTGAGAATGCTTCTGTGCTTTGAATTACTGCTCATTTCTGCTTACACAACTGAATATTTAGAGCTGCTGTGACTGATCATAGCAATCATTTGTTCTACCACTCATAGTGCACTAGCTCCATGATAAAACTATTCCACTCATGTGCCCATAGGTCCACTGGATGTTTCTTACCGTAAAGTGACAGTTCTACCCAACCGGCCAAAGCTGAATTTGCTCTACACTATAACTCACTCATTGTTTATCATATTTCCATTTCAGGTTTGGCAGAACACATTTAACTCCCTGTTAGAGGTGTCAGTTGTTTGCCTGAGTGTGACAGCTTTTGGTTCGGATGTCGCTGCCTGGTGGGCTTCCGCCGGGCTGGGCTTACAGTTAATGCTGGTAGGAGCCTGCCGCAACAGGCTGCAGCCACTGTTTGAAAAACTTGTCTTCATGATGACCCTGGCTGTGACATCCTGGAAGCTGCCTAAGCAAAGACACAAATCAACAGTGCCCATCTTAGTGACATCTGCCATTCTTTTCCCGGTCATCATTGCCATACTTGGCATGTCAACTGTATTAGCAGCTCCACTACTTCCAGTGTTCTGTCTTCCTATCTTCCTAATTGGGTTTCCTCGACCATTGCGTTCCTGGCCCTCCGCAGCCAGCACTGCAGCGGCAAGCTGTCCAGATTCCGTGTATTACAAACAGCTGATGCCTCAAGTGGTCTCCAACCTTGGTGTCACTGTGTCATTGGGTGCCCTGGGCAATCCTGACCCAGGGGATCATTTCTTGGTGCGCTTTCAGGACCGGCTTGTTTGGGTCCACATTCTTGAGAGTGGTTATAAGTTTTGTACCGTAGTACTAAAGGGACTTGAGCTGCAAGAGACATCGTGTCACACCGTGGAAGCCACTCGCGTCGATGACGTGTTCCAGGATATTTTTGTCCATGAAGGCAAATGGCCACTGGTGTCTTTAAACAGTCACGTGTCTAATGTTCTAAGGCCATGTGATTCGCTAGTAATAAACACTTACTCAGATGCAAAAAATGTTCTGACTGGAGTCATTGATCAACCAGAAAATCTAAGGCGTAACTCCGAGAATTTCTTGAAGACACTTGTTTGGGTTTTGGTCAAATACTGCAAAGAACATGAGTTTGGCAACAACGACAGCAGTGCACGACATGTGCCAGTGAGCATTCCAGAAGAAGAGACAGTAGTAAATGTTCCAGTTGATGATTCACCGGTTTTCAGACCAAAAGAAGTTGTGCTTGATCGGCTGTTAAGTCAGGATGACATTGAACTTCATAATTTACCAAAGACTTTACAACAAGAAAAAGATCAGTCTACAGGAGTGGCTACAGCTAAACTTCATAGAAGCGGCTCGTTGCCAAGTCTAAGTGACAGCGTCTGGTCACAAGAAAGCTTAAAACTTGACGATAGCTTCACAAGTCCTGGAAAGCAAATGCCACATTCACAACATCCAGTATCTGATGAGGGTGTGGACGACCTGGAGGATTCATTAAACCTTGGTGGCTTTCCAGCGCTGGACATCGGCCGCCCCAAGGCATCAACAACTCAAAAAACAATTAGAAATCCACCTGAACGGTTTAATGCAGTCTCGAGTGACTTGCAGTACATAGCTAGTAATAGTGGAGTTTTCAGTAACAATGCAGGTGCCAGCAGTAGTGTAGAGCCAGCGGTATTCACGTCAGAGCATGCTTACAAACTTGACATGCCATCTAACTGGAAGTTTTCCATTCCGGTGGACAAGCATCATATAGATTCTTTATCCAGCAAATTTCCGGATTTCTGGTTGAGACATGTCATTAAGTCTCAAAACTTTGGAAATGACAACGAGACTGTCGCGCAAAGCATCATTAATGATCCCGCTCTAATTGGAATCTATAAACAATTAACATGCGCTTGTTATGCGGTGGTGGAAGTGTTGGGTTTCCCAGGATCCTCTGCAACAACTGCAGGTCCGGGTCACGTGCATAAGGTGTACTCCGGCAACATCCCATGGTCAATGAATCTTGACTGGCTAGAGAAGGATACTCAACTTAAATCCCTCGTTCTGAAGGCATACAGGTACATGTACAAAGCAATAATTAACCCACAGATCTACAAAGAGTTTTTCAATACTAATTAGTGCGAGTGCGTGAAAAAGCGTCATTTTAGTGGGAAAACGCGATAGCTGTCGCCATTTCCTTATTCCCTTTGAAAGAGATTTCTTGTTGCCATGCGTGAATCGCGTGCGTCTGTTTAGTAGAGAGCTTACACAACGACGACGGCTACAAAATCGTCACTTAAAACTAAGTGAATTCGCGCTGCTTCAAAATTTATTGCGCTTCCTCCATCTCCTTTCATTTATCGAATGTTAGCAAATTTTTTGCTCGCAGGCTAAATCAAAGAGGCCGTATCGAAGTGCAGGAAAAGAAATAGAAAGCCGTTATGTTGTGTTCAAATTCTCCACAAAACGTGAAATTAGGCGTGTTCACGTTTTAGTCGTGCAGTGACAGCAAAGAAGTGTACAAAATAGCGTGATGCACGTGCAGAGTTGTTGTTTTGCTAATCTGAACCTACCGCTTTTTTACCGTTCTAGTTGCCGTCGCCTTCGTTGTCGCTTAAGCTCCCTAGTAAAAGATCACAGATGACATCAAAATGACAGGGGCTCCCAACGTCAATTTTCGGAAAATATCTGTTTGGAAGACGATTTGAGATCCAGAATTTTCGGAACATTTGTTGTAAAATTTCTAGCTTGCCTGTCTCTCCTAGGATTTTTGAATACCTAAAAAAATGGTATAATTGCCCATTTTAAACGGATTTTTTCCCTAAAAAGGTCACGTAGCATTTTCGGGAGCCTTTTTTCTGGCTGAAATTTAAGTTTTGATCCCTATAATTTTGGGATCACTGGACTTTCAGCTAGGAAATTCGAACAGCCTATATCTACCGTTTAAATACTAAAATACGTTTAACAATGCTATGTGACACGAGTCGCAGGCGAGTGTGTCATCGATGTTTTTACCACATTTTGACGTCTTCTGTGAGTCATTACTGAACAGACCCACGGCAACATGGAATATATTCTTTTTGTGAAGTGAAGAAAAAAAACACAAACCTACCTCGTACAGCTTGACTTGGTTGGATGATCTGTGCCAGTTTAGGCATTTTCCAAGTCACAAACGCTACTTTCCTTCTCTGGTTCTTCTTTTCTTCTTTATCTTACTTGAAGACAGTACCTCCGAAGAGTAATTCAACGCTTTCCCTTGCTCAAAGCATAATAATGGCGAAAACATTTTGCAGAACTGCGAGTCTCTAGTAGCGATGACACGATGGCAACTGTTAAGAAGATTTCTTCCAGTTCAGGCATTTTCAAGTTGTCAAGAACTCTTTCCGTCCCGTTTTCTTCGTTCTTCTTACTTGAAATTACTTCTGCTAATTTTTTTTCGTGGTCTTCTCTTGCTTAATCCGAAATAATCTCGCAACCATTTTCAAAACTGCCCGCCATGTTGTACAAAACAAAGAAGACAAGTTCCCGTGACGTCATCCATGTGTCTGAATTCAAATAGACCATGGGCAACGAGTCGTGCAACGACCAATCGATGCGCGCCTAATATTCGCCTCATTATTTAATACGCGTTTTAAAACACGCTATCAAATGCTAGAAGTTTCATAACTTTGCGATCGGGAGAGGGCTTAGGGCCCAGCTAGTGGGGCCCATATTAAGTGTAGTAGTAAGTTGTTTTAACATATTTTACCAGAGAAACTGTTTAGTTCCCAGACCCCTGATCCAGACCTTCAGAATCGTTACTACTGTACTACTTAATATTTTGTGTTCTTCGTTTTTACAGGTATGCATTCAAGTTAACATATGACGAAGCGGTTCTTGGGGAAGTGACCAGTGAAGATGAACTGGTAGAGTACTTGACAGAGTACGACAGGGACTGGTACTTAGGTTCTGAGACAGATCGTGATTGGCAGACGTCTATCATGGCGGACAAACCGTATCTTTTCTCGTTGGGTAGAGATAAAAGCCAGGTAGGAAAAAAATTTGCTTCCTCATAAAAATCATTCAGCATTCTCTGTGTCATCGTCTCCAGCTTTGTTCAGTTTTTCAGTGTACTCATTCAGCTGTGTCACATAGGTTTCCGTAGCTAAAGTAATTGCGGTAGTGGCCTAACTTTGGGTCCATGCGAATCCCTTTCTGAGACAAACACCGTGGGGAAAAGCGATAGGTGTCCGTCTTATTGAAAGCTGTCAAAGAAAAGTAAAATGCCTGAGGAGCTAACCTACGTGGCAGGCGTTCGAAGGGGAAGGGGAAGGGGATTTTGGTCGTGAGAGAAACGCGAGAGGCGCGCGAGGAGGGAGGGAGGGAAACTCCCTCGCGCGCGTTCCCGCGGCCAAATTCCCTTCAACTTTCATTTTGAACGCCTGCCACGCAGGCTGGGAGCAACTTTAGGTGTCCGTTTTAGCAAGGTATCCCTCTTATAGAGAGTCAACTAAAAGGAGTAATGAACGGGCGGGAAACAACTCTGGGTGTCCGCTTTAAGGAGGTGTCTGTCTTAAGGACAGCGTCAGAGAAAATGTCGAAAGAGCAAATGTAAGTAACTCTTTAAATAGATTTTATAACCATTATCATTCCAAGAAGATGTATACCGTAGGGAAAATAGGTGGTTTCTGGCGCAATCGTTAATAAATACTCATATTTTCTATCTTTTGTCAGGGCACATACACCAGCCATGTTCTGACAAAGCAAGAGATTATTGCCCCTGTGGGGCGCCTGAATGGAGAGTGTGTACGAGGACAATGGGCCTCACTGGCGCTGGAGCTGCTATATCTCACTAATGATGACGAAGAGCGCTACAGTATCCAGGCCCACCCCACCCTACTCAGGAACCTTACCATCCAAGCAGCCGACCCTCCTCTAGGATACCCTGTCTATTCTTCAGGGGCTGTATCAGCACCTCTTGTTGTAGCTCCTCTGTAAAAGGTCCTTTGGCTGTCCAATCGTAAGCAATCAAGGGCGTCCCCAACCTGGCAGTAGGCCCTTTTCTTGGTTACCTTATGCACCTCTTAGTGACAAACCAGCACCCCTTAGAAGCTCTTCTGCGTCACAGAGGTTATACTGGGACCCTAGCTGTTGCAGTTCGTTCATTGTAAAGCTGCTCAGGGACCTTGTCATCCTAGGAGCAAAGTCTCCTGTCTTCAGAATCAAGTCGCTACCCTGCATCTCAAATTATTGAGCCAGAACAACACACACCCGTCCACAATTTATTCATACAGTAGTTATTTTTATGTGCAAAGATCCCAAAGTATGGCGGTAAACCATATCGAAACAGCAAACGTTTTATTACCAGGAGAAGTTAAAAATTGACAAAAAAGCGATGATGGGTGGCGTCCATCTAAAAAGGCCGACAGATTTTCAAGCTATGCTAGCTTCGACTTGTACTCGATACAGTACCTCATTAAACAGGCCTCATTATTCCACGCGACCGTATCGCGTGTTCTGTTCGAAGTCGTGACCGTCAAGACCGGGAAAAAGCCCATACAGTGACCGGGCAACTCTTGGCAACTCATCGCCCATGATCGCATTCAGTCACTGTTTGTCCTCAACCTCTTCACCATGACCTTCGCATTTTCTAAAGGAAAATCCCTGGGGCCTGGGGCCAAGGCTTTGTTTGACCTTTCTAACAACAGCGAGCACAGCTTATCGGAAATTAAATGAAAGTGTAAAATCGTGCGAACCGAAAATGAAACGTGCACAGCGCATTTCTCCGCTTCTTGAAAGTTTTCCCAGTAACATATCTCCCCTGAGTTTTCTTACGTGCAAGTTTTTTAGTTGGGTTTGACCCTTATTTAGGAACTAGAAGTATGAAAAAAAAACATAAAGCGAGCAAAAGTTTCCTTTTCGACATCGTCATAGCTGTCACGTGTCTGTCGTACTTAAAAATCTCAAGTATCGTGCAAAAAAATCATACCCTCAAATTGTTGTACATAATTAGTACACGGATGACCAGTTGCAAGCTGTAAAAAGCAGTGTTTAAAATATAAAGTGTGAATAAAAAGAACAACTTAAAAGTGAACTTGGTTGAGTATTGCGCAGTCTTTGTGTAGGCTACAGATAAACCACATGACGTAGCCTCGTTCCCGGCCATTCCCGGCGCAGTCGCGTTCGGTTCTAAGCCTCCTCCGCTCACTCGGATAGCGTGAATTGGCCTGGGGACGAGGTTGCACACTAATTTGCACACTACCTAAAATCCCTGATTCGCTCTGGCAACTCTTGGGAAATTGAGCTTTATGAAACAAAGGCGCTGATGTTGAGAAGCTGTCACTATGGCACCGAAATGAACACAACCTTGTTCCCAGCTAAGGGTCTACAGGTCACCAAGTTGACCTGAAGCATACCGCGAAAGCTACTTCCGGTGCTCGTAGCTCTCAGCCTATACAAGCTTTTCACATTTCTGCGGGGCCAAAAATCTGAAAATGTACTGCGAATATTCTTTACTTTATGCGTCAGCCTTTTCCACCTTTTAAGCTTAATTTTGATTTAAAAATAGAGCGCTCTTTCCTTTGTTTTCATGTCATTAATTGTGAAAATGTTCTAGGTTTCCTAGCCTGCATAACAGGCACTTTATGAGCCAAGCGAGGCAAACGCGGCATTTTGCACTCGCGCTCGTCTCGATCGCGCTCCGCGCGACATGCCGCGTTTGCCACGCTTGGCTCACGAAGCGCCTGTTGTGCAGGCTCTATAGGTTTCTCACAGTTTATCCTTGGGATAGCCCGGCCGATAGGGCCATGATTATTTGGGTTAACTTTTACTAACCATGATGAAAATTTTATCGTTCTTTAAATACGATCGAGTTTGTAAAACATTCTGATGTACAAAATCAACGAATCCATAACCGACATCCTCTTCCCTAACTAAGCGGGTCCAATTTGTTTTCTGAAAATCAACAACCTTCGATACGTTAACTCTGTCACTCTGACAGGTCACCTGATCGATCATGGTGATACGTATTTTCTCCGTTACAGGCCAGGATAATATTGAATCGTATTCACCGGGAATAACTTTGATGTAAACCGACAGGTATTTCCCCTTAAAGTCCTTATGCACCTTTGGATCTGCGCAGCCTCCATTTGGCATCATTTTGATTCGTAATTTGTATCCGTTTTTGAACAAATAAAACGGTTCGCTTAGTATGGTCTCTTGTTCCTCTGTCACAGCCCTATCGTAAACCGCTTGGAAGCCAGTTATCTTCCAAACATACGGCGCATATTTCTCCGTCATCTGCTCCAGTCTCTTTATCTGTTGCGACTGTTCTTTGACAAGGTTTGCAAGCGCGCGGACCTGGTGCTGAGTTGACTCAAGGCCACGAAGGGCAAGGGTGAGATGGTGTTCAACTTGAGATTTCGAGTGAAATGTGGTGCTTGACCGTGGAAACTGCAAACGAAGAAATATTCCGACAATTAATATATATAAATGGGAGTATTTGTCTTTTGGTGCATGAAATCGACTGAATATGTCCAACGCAGACAGCTTCCGATCACGTCGCAGTCCATTAGAGATTGAATAGAATAAAGGAGGTATATATTTTTTTAAAAAAATTCTTACCACTGCGTCGCATCCTAAAGAATTGTACTCGCACTGAACCAAAGTTTTAGGACAATCATAACGGGTATGATTACCAAGCTGTCAAAAAAAAAAAGAAACAAAGAATATACTACAATAGGCAAACTTCCCTACAAGCAGTAGAAAAACCGAAGGCTCAAGAAATCGGGTTTCAACTTTATCGCTAAAAAGCTCTGAGGGGTGTGGATAATAAGATATTTATAATGTAGCGAAAATTATTTAATAGTTCAGATGTTTCCGAGTTACCTCAAGTCAAGCCACGGTTTCAAACAAATAACAAACAAAACTGACACTAAAAAACAGACAAAACTGATGTGGATAACAGTCATTTCTATATTGTTATGTAAATAAAAAACATTTTAACATGAAAGGTTTCATGACTCGGCCTCACTTTCAAAGCGAGGCTTTGGAACTCGGAAATGTCCTGTAAAGAGAAGTATTGGGCGGACAAAAGGTTGATACCAAGGGGAGGAGGGCAATGTTCCTGTTGGTAGACAATAGTTCTACTGTAATTTGAAATTCTTGAAAAAAACAAAACAACGAACCATTTCCCTTGGGATATCCCTCACACCACACTTGTTAGTACACTGGACAGGAAACTTTGTGCAAGTGGCAAGATGGATCTGCGGAAAGAAATGAACAAATACTCTTTGAAAAAGTCGAAAGCGGGAAATTCCGAGCGGACGATTTAAAAGTAGTGTGTCACGGCGGCCATTCGGGCTTTTAAAACTAAAGGTTTTTTCTCCTCGTGCACATAGTTTTGCAATGATAAATACTTCACTGAGTCAGCCTGAAAACGTATCCAAGAACAACTAGGCAGATAGGATCAGATGCTTTTACGAATACCCGTGCAGTGTAAGAAAAGGGTGAGGGTTTTCGCCTGGTTCATATACGCGACGAGCGTTTCACTCCTCTCCAGAAACTATGAAGGGAATGGGTACAAGCTTTTGGTGCAACGATTTCTGGGTTCGTTTGGGTGGACAAACGTTAGTTATGATTGGTTGATGGTATTCAAGGCAACCATTAACCAATCATAAGAAACGCTTGTCCACCCAACCGATCCCAGAAATCATTGCGCCGAAAGCTTGTACTCATTTCCGTTATAGTTTCTGGAGTAGGAAATACGGCGGCGGCGAGAGAGAAGAGCCGTCTTTGGAGTCTCTTGCCGTCGTCATATTGGAAAAAGAATAGACCCTAAGAGCAATGTTGATTTAATCGGCAGTCACAGGCGCGCAGCGCAGGAAAGCAAGTTTTAGTTCGTGTTTGGGCCTTAGCTACATAAAAAAACAACAACAATAACAACAACAACCAAACGCGAAACAAATTTTCATCGTACCTGTTTTTGATTCTGGACAAATGATGTTGTGCAGTATTCACACTTAATTATCCTCCAAGAACATTCGAAAGTCACGTGGATTGTCAGCTCCTGTTTGGTGAGCTTTTCTTTGCAACCAACGTTTGGGCAATTAACCACTTTGAACGAACAGCTTGATTGATGTTTCTTAAAGTGAAAGAGATTGACATTCTAAGTGAAGAGGGATACTGGGTCGGCAAAGTTATAATTTGACGCACGTTACCTTAGGTACCTTTGCGCAACTCTAAATAGTACTTGACCACACTGACGCATACTTTAACGAAAAGTGACGATGATGCCGGCAACAAAAAAGAATGTTTCGGCAAGAAGGTCTCCTAGTTTAACCAGGTCTTTGGTTTTTTACAGTGTTTTTCTTTCTATAGTAGCTAGGGAAACAAAAGCATGACATACGTACCTCCACGTCACGCAATTCTCCCGCCCATGAACATCTAAAATATGAACACTTCACGGACAGATCCAAAATTTTCCGGTGGCAAGCGGCATCCGGAAATATCTGCAAATTATGAAGGAGAATGTTGTTTGAGAATACATAATATAGCATGATGGAGGCTTAGAATAGTCGGTTTCCGGCTTCTAATTTCCTACGAAGCCCACACAGAATTGAGGAGCGTTGCGTGACGAAACTTCAAAAACGGCTGTGCGTGCGAGACCGGGAGAGTAGTTGTCTTCCTGCTTCAACTAATGATACACTTTGCCTCTCAATCCGGACACTTTTGATGAAGCAAATTTTTTGCCATGACAATTAAAAAATAGAAATTAATGCATCATGAAAAAAAGTTATCTGTGAGTCAAGATGGCGTTACAATTAGTTTGCGTGACTAACGAAACAGAATACCTTGTCGCGTGATAATGGCTGCCTGTCTGCTGGACAAGACGGTGAAGGGCGCCTAAACAATAAAAATTCAAATTAGAAGAAAACCAAACACCACCCGCCTATCAATCAATTCAACAAATGAGAGGAAATATCGATTAGCATTCATTAGTTGGCGAGTTTATGTTATGAACGTTCGAATGACCTTGTCGAACACTGACAACACTCCCCTAAATTTAAGTCACTCGAATTATATTCCTTTAAGGAATTAAGTAAATATTACAGGCAGAACAGTTAATAGACATAGAAAATTGACTGCGGAAAAATTTGAACGCATGGCCCATCGGTTATCATGACTAAATTATGTTTAAAGTAAAATGCGTGTTTAGAAATACAAAGGCGAACCGAAACAATGAGAAGCACAACGGGGAAAGTTCCTTTCAATGACCATCATTTGAATGATTACACTTTGGGATACTAAACACAAACGACCACAAACGCATAAAAATATTCAGGACAGTGATTCGGCACCGAAAAGGAAATACTATCAACAGAATCCTTTAAAATATTGACGTTGTTAATCCTAGCTCTTTCAGCAGAAATAATCGAAAGTGGCAATCCTGAGCGTCAAGTATAAAGACACGAGAAAGATATTATTCATCAGCGATGACTTATCGCATTCACGCGGTTATTTCGACGGTTCTTTCGTTGTTTGAATAATACTGAAGTCATTACCTGAAAAGGGACTCCATGCAGATATTACAAAGTCGGTGACCACATCCCACAATTTGCACCGGATCTTTCATTGCTAGATGACAGACGAGACATATCCAGTCCTCAGGAACGCTGATAATGAAGTCATAATCATAGCCGCCGAGTTCTGGACCCTTCGTAGGCACCGCCATCTTTATACTGCAAGAACAGGAAGCATTTTTAAACGTACGAGCATGATTCGGGAAAATTTCGTATCGTATTACAAGTCATGCGTTGCATTTAATTACTCGCGTGACTGGATTAATGATCGTGAGTCTCCACAATCCCGTGATCCCGACCCAAATTTTCGCGCAATCCCGTAATACTAATGCTTATTTTTGACATCCCATTTCGCGTGTATACTTTCGATCCTGAATTTTATCCCCATTTTCTTTCAAAATCCCGAAGTTCAATTACAGCATTATTGCCCAGACGTCACTGAAAATTTCCACTTTAGATTTATAAACGATAACGTTATAACATTTTTTCCAGTTTACGTTTGCTGCTCGTGTTGTGCCTGTTGCTTTTGCAGAATGCATGTATGTTTGGGAGACACGGCCTATTTTGTTGCTTACTGTTTCTCGTTTGTCCAAAAATTATTGAAAACGCAAAACTCATACACTGAGTTTTATTTATCACCGGGAGGTAACAACTTTGGATCACTTTTGATTACGGTACTCAGGCTTTTACCTTTTCTTTCCGTCTTCAATCAATAATTGGTAACTTAATCGCTTCACTCACCTTATATTCCACTTGTGACGTGCGTCAGTTTGAGCCGGAAGGGTCATCCATTCTAAGCATTTATGACAAGTACCTCAGGTTGTCTGACAATACCATTTCATTTTATTGACTCAATACGTTAACAACGTTCAACTATTAAGTCTGCTGTAAATCAATCGAATATGAAGTCTATGTAGGCTCCAGATTTCTTGGCTAGTATATCAGAGACAGCAGAGACAATTCACAGAGGCGAAGGAGTTGTATAATCAGGAAGTCAGGCTTCCGCGATCTTGGTCGGTAGTCCGGCATTATGTCTGGATACGACTACACATTTGTTTCCTTTGTCGCAGAGGAGGATACTTGTCCAATATGCAGCAGTCCGATGAAAGAACCTGTTCAAACAAGATGTGGTCATCGGTTTTGCCGCCTCTGCTTGGAAGAGTGCATGCGAAGGTAACGTTTTGGCTCTTCAGTCTGCATTTTAGTATCGTAAGTCATAGAACCTACATGCCGCCATGTAAACTTAAAATGCTCGAGAACGTTACTTCATTAAGTTAATGTTATTCAGTGGCACGCCTAGCCTCGTTTCAACTTTACAAGAACTGATTTTCGTTCGGAAATTTCAGTCTTCGTGATAACTTTCCCACTCACAGAAGAAGGAACTATAAAGACGAGTTATGGATGGGCATTTTGAGTGAAATTATGGCTCATCAGCAAGAGTCAGTGACCCAAATCTTGTCCTTGACATGATTTCACGTACTATAGCAGCGACGACTTCCAGATGTTGGTAATATTCTGCCTATATACTTTTATTTGCTTATACACTGATAAAAATATAAGTATTTCTTACTGAACAAGTGATTGATTTTTCACTTCTGAGCATATTTTGGTCGCTGTCAGGTATCTCCGACACTGACGCTTAGTTTATTTGGACAATACATCCACTGTGGCTGCGCTATCTTTTCTGTAATGGATACACTCGTGTGAGTTTAAGGATCTAAACTTGAGCACGTATTCGGAGATTCAAAGATTTGCTCGTAGAAAAATGAATGGCAGAAAAGAAAGACAACATGTTGTATATAAGCATTTTATTATTATTATTATTATTATTATTATTATTATTATTATTACTATTATTATTATTAAGAGCGAATGCACAGAAAAATCGAGCAAAATCGGCAAATCGTGGCCACAGCTCAAAACCTAACTTACACTCATTTTCAGTCTGTAATAAGGTTTTAATGAGTTTATAACACTGCTGAGGTTTAAATTTCAAAATGCGGCCGAGTTTGGGAATTATTTGAGATTTTTGATTTCAACAGTCTGCTGGCCTAAGATTAGCCGCCGAACACGGCAATATAGCCTAGCGACAGAAATGAGCTGACTTTCATAAACGAGCGAATATATTGGCAATCTTCCACTTAAATCTCAAAAAGCAGATATGTAACAATTTCTGAACGGCGCAATTTTTAGATTTAGAGTATAAAATATCGACGAACCAGCAGAATTTTTAAACGTAATTTGCATAATGCTTATAAATACGACAATTTACGGCTAAAACCAAAATCGAATTTTCTATATGGGGGAATTCTTCAAATCACCCCAAATCCCGCTTACTACCCAATGAGATATAGTACTTCAACATTATCTGAAAGTTAGTCTGGTGTTCTTGCGAACGCTTGTAAAATAGATTGATTATTTTGAGGTTATTTCGCCCCAAACAACTGCTAATTGGCCCCAGGGTCAATTGACACGTGCACCTGACCTTAGTTTTATGCGTCGATTTGAGCTCGTTAAAAGGGAGAAACTAACAAGATTCTTTTAATATGTACCTGTTTTAATGAAATACACGCAATCTTCAAAAGGAGAGGCCGTTCAATGGGTAATTTCTGTTCTTGAGATCTTGTAGATCGTACCATGGCGTCTGCGAGTGGACCTGAGTCTAGGTCTGTTTTCCCGTGACTGCGAAATCGGAATAACATCAAGAAATAATTCTCCCTCGAATCTTCGTAAGTGAATCAGCTTTGCAGTGCCTTACCTGAGATAAAAAGTGGGCCGAATAGCAAAACATTTCTAGCGCGATTTGGATCCTTTGTGGAACGCAGTGTAGTGCTGAGCGAAAGGTGAGTAAACAAACGTGGGAAAGTACGTTACCTTTGATTGCGTGACCAGCCAGTAAACGATAGTCTGCAGCGAAAAATGGGACTCGTAAAAATCTTGCTGATGTATATTTAACAGTTTCTTACTATAAATTTACACCTGGTTTGTCTAAAACTTTAAACAATGCATATCTGTCCAAGAGTATAACAATGTTTCGAAAGATCCACCCCTAAATAACTGTGGGCTACTCCTTTTTCGCCATCACCGATTTGCACTTCCTTCCCACTGTCTTTTGCATGAGGCTTGTATGCCTTTTTAACTGTTATAGACACTTAAAACTGGCCTTTTAAGACCTGGTTTAAGAACTTGACTGACTTAAAAAACCGTCGCGAACATGCGCTATTATTGTTGGACTTTGGAAGCTTTAAGCCCAAAATGATGGTGCAATCTCGAGAAATTTGCCCGGGTCTAATTATAAGACAGGGAACGGGTACTAAGAAAGGGACGGTCTCATTTAGCAACCCGTGGACAATCTGGGCATGCTTGCCTTCTGTCGCAGGGGCAACCGTAAAAGCCAGGTACGCCGCCCCCACCCGAGAGGATTGCATTGCATCCACCATTTCAGTCGCTTTTTCCACATCATGACCTTCAATTATCATGAATTATAATGCGGGCCTTGATCGTTGCCACCTTACCAGAAGTCTAATCTTCGCACTGTTAGACCATGAGAATCGCTATTATTATTCCATAAATGCACCATTGACTTTTCCTTGCTCAGCTTCCGGTAAACCGATACTCCGAAGCAAAAAAAGCTTTACAACGACTCTATCGAGGCCAGAACTCCTGATATCAACAAATACACCCCCCCCACCTAAAGAGAGCAAACGTTCCCCGAGCTATTCACTTGACCAACCCCATCCCTTCGTTAAGAAAAACTACGCACTCAGTTCACTGGACAAAACGCGCTCGTGAATATACCAAACTATAGCCGTTCATCCTACAAGCAATCTCACTTTCAGCAGGCGTGGCCACCTTTCCAGTTGCTCTAAGATTAATTCGACACCTGCAACAGACACTGTAAATTAAATAGCGGCCACAACGCCCTTCTTTGAAACCGTCAGGACGAGAAAGTTTATAAAAGACTTAACAGGTGTGCGCGGCGGTTTCCTTTTCTTCCTTCCCTCCCATTGTAGCACTCAAATTCTGACCCTGATATTAATTCTAGTAGTGATCAATCGTTCCTGAGCCGATAGGCACAAGGATACCAGTTTCTTGCAAAATATGCTGTGACATCCGTTTGTTCATCCCCCTTTCTGCCTTCGGCCGCTGATTAGGTTTGGTTCCGTGCTTTGAAATAACTTTAGGAACGAAACATGATACGTGAGGGGAGTGTCCGGCTAAGGACAAGTGACTCTCGGTGGTGAAGACATATACTGAGCTTGTCAGTATTTCGTAGCCTGTACCACGTCGCGAAAATAGAACAAGCCAAAGAAAATAAGACGCCTTTCTTTCCCCAGCCCCCGCAGGTTTTTCGCATTACTTTTTACTGCACAACTGATTCTACCTTTTCGAGCCGGAGCGAACATGGACGCCCTTGCGGTTAATGCACCTATCAATGTAAAGCCGGCGGGGGGGGAGGCAGGGCATGGGGTGGGGATTTGATTGTCTCTGTTGTCCCTGGGGTAGGGCATTTGACTGATCTTGTTCTCCCGGGGGAGGGGATATTTGAATCTTTCTTCGCCCGACGTGGAGATATTTGACTGCCGACTCGGACGAAAAAGACTGAGACCGAACATATGTTTCCCGCTTCCACGCTTCACGCATGCGCCGTACGGTTTGAGAAAGATCAGGAATTCATGGAGGCCAATGAGAACAAGCGAAGGCTGAGTGGATTTCACTGTTTTGTCTTCAAATTTCGTTTGTTTTAGCGTGTTTTTGATCAATTGAACCTCTTAATATACTGTGGTATCAAAGTAAACGGAAGTAAAGAGAAACCAAGTCAATTTTTGCAAGTACAATTGATTAGTGTATGGCTCATTCGCTACAATCACTGTAAGCTTATAAAAGTGACTTTCTTTGTACCCTTTACTAAGAACTTTCTCCTAAAGGTTTATGTATTCTACGCAGAGTAACACGGATTATGGTTAAAACGTATAATTGCAGCTGTAACAGGAACATGTATCTTTGGTGATGCAGAACGTTTATAAAAGATTGCAGAGTTTTATTTGGAGATATTTTTATTGTACCTTTCTTAGGTTCTGCCTTGGGATTGACAGCAATGTGCAGCCTGGGGTGGGGAAATTTGGTTGCATTTGACTGGAATGATTTGCCCGTGGGCAGGGAATTTGATTGCAAATTTTTGAAAAAAGTCAAATCCCCACCCTATGCCCTGCCTCCCCCCACGCCGGCATTACATTGATAGGTGCATAAGTTTCCACTTCATTTTCGGCACCTGACTAAACGCAAGCGCTGACTTGTGCGCCTATGCTTCGTTTGCACTGAAGTAGCAGTATATGACCACGACAGACTTGTTGCTATCCTTGGTTTGAAACCGCCATGGGCAAGAACAATTTCTTGAAAAGAGCAAACTATATTTCCTCCTTAGCAGACATGGAGAACAACTACTAGGACTTAAGCAATGCCATTGCTTAAGTCCTTCTAGACTTGAAAAGAGAAAGCATGATGCTTTCTCTTTTTAATGATTTACGGCTAAACAGTACAATTTCATGTAGCTTTTACGCAAAATTAAATACTCAGTTGTTTGCAGAATTGCATTTAACAACAAATTACAGAAATTTAACTAAGTTTAGATCTCATAGATAAGTAGTGAACGAAAAAACTTTGGGGTAATGCGGCATTCACATTTAAATGATATGGAAATTCCTGAAACAAAACGTTTTAACCCCAAAGGGTTTGAATTGGGTACAACATTGAGTTAGCCGAATTGGTCTATGGACACACAATAGCAGAGATATCATGCCTGTAATTTTCTGTTCAATGCACCTTATGACAAGTCTGACTAATCCACTGGTAAACCATGCCTTAAAACCGCCTTGAACCTTAAAATTTAATCCATTCGCCTTTCATGCGTAGTGCAAATATATCTTCTGAACACTCCGGGGTTGAGGGTAAAATCAGAAGAACAGAACATTCAGTTACTGTACCATTTTTAAAAGTCGGACAGTATGTTTGCTAATCATCTTAGTTAACCGCTTTTAAAATAGGACAAAAGGACACCTGGTCATACAGGAAAATGAATTTACTGTATCCCGAAAGTTTTGGTTTCCCGTGCACTTATTTTTCGCAGGAGACAATCGATAATTGCCTGGTCACGCAATCGGAGGTGAGTAACTAATTTTAAAAAAATCATTGATACCCCCCCGCCCCTTCCGGGTTGATACCACTGCCGCTTAGCAAATACACTACGTGCTGCATAGAATCCAAATTGCGCTAGAATGTTTTGCTATTCGGCCCACTTTTTATCTCAGGTGAGGCACTGCAAAGCTGATTCATTTACGAAGGTTCGAGCGAGAATTACTTCATGATGTTATTCTGATTTCGCAGTCACGGGAAAACAGACCTAGACTCAGGTCCACTCGCAGACGCCATGGTACAATCTACAAGATCTCAAGAACAGAAATTACCCATTGAACGGCCTCTCCTTTTGAAGTTTGCGTGTATTTCATTAAAACAGGTACATATTAAAAGAATCTTGTTAGTTTCTCCCTTTTAACGAGCTCAAATCGACGCATAAAACTAAGGTGACGTGCACGTGTCAATTGACCCTGGGGTCAATTAGCGGTTGTTTGGGGCAAAATAACCTCAAAATAATCAACCTATTTTACAAGCGTTCGCAAGAACACCAGACTAACTTTCAGATAATGTTGAAGTACCATATCTCATTAGGTAGTAAGCGGGATTTGGGGTGATTTGGAGAATTCCCCCATATAGAAAATTCGATTTTGGTTTTAGCGGTAAATTGTTGT